CAGTAAGAGTCTGACACTCCCTCCTAAGTGGTAGAAGTCATTGGATGATTTTCAAACAAAGTATACTCTGTTGTTTGTCTTATAATTGAAATGTTAATCGCCCACCTAATAAAACATATGCATATTAATTTTTCTGCCATTTATCTCGAAAGGCTGCTAAACCCATAAAATACTTTTCATGGTAGTTATTAGACATTATTGTTTTAAATCTACATCTATAAATTATTTATCGATTATTTCTGTATTCAAAGTTCCAGCGCTAGAAAAGAAACATGTGGCTCCCTCAATCAACAGTGAGGTTTTAACAAAAATATTTACTCATAATAATAAATCGGAAGTCTTAACAAGAGTCGGCAAAGGTATGATCTTCTTTGAGATTATAGTAACATAAGTAGGTTCTACAGAAATTCTAATTTTATTTTATTTGTCCTACTAAGCTCAAATCCTTACTAATATTATAAATTAGAAAGTGAGTTTGTTTCTTTGTTTGTTCCGCTTTCACACCGTAACTACTAAACCGATTGCTTTAAATTTTTGCAGGCTTAAAGTTAGAAGTCCGGATTAAATAATAGGATACTTTTTATCCCGGAAATATTTGATATTCCCGAGGGAAAACAAAAGTATTGGTATAGATAGCGCTGTGTGTATTGATACATGTCACATAGGCTACTTTTATCCTTTTGTGACGCGAGCGAAGCCGCGAGTTAAAGCTAGTGTGACATAATTATGTTTGTTTGTTTTTATATTCGATTTGCTGACGTTCGGCCATTATCTTGCCTGGTGGTAAGCGATGATGCGGTCTACGATGGATCACGTCTGCCCATAAGTAACAAATTCACTCGGGCCTTGAAGACATACCATACCCTTCAGAAAACACAGACGATGGCAAAGAATTCCACTCCTTAACAGTACGCACAAGGAAGCTTGTTACCCTTTTACTCAAAAACTACTAAACTGATTTAGATAAAATACAGATAGTAGTTTACAAAATTCGCATGCTACTTTTCCCGGTAATGCGAGTGAAGCAGTTGATTGATTATAGTAGCATAGCAGTAGAAGTTAGTTCACATACTAAAGATGTTTTATTTTAATTTGATTTTATAATCATTTAGCTGTAGAAAAAAGACAACTTCCAGCCGAAGTTCTGACGGAAGTATTAAACAAATTAAATGTACATGACGACAAGGTCACTGTTAATGATAAGGTTCAAAAAGGTAAATTTTTTGCCTGATTGTGTTGCTGTCTTTATTACATTACTGATTAATTAACTATAATTAGAACTTTAAAACTTGAAATTGGTAAGTATCCATGATAAACAAGTGTTCTTAGACAACACAAAATTGTGTGTTTCCTCATACCATCATCACGCATTTTATCCCCGAAGGGTTAAACAGAAGTGCATATTCCGGCACTTAATGCCACTGTACAATATAACACCCACTTTTCACTATTTATGTTGAGAGTCCCATGTAATAGGGAGTGAGTCTACTGCCATATACCGGCCACAATGCCAGACTCCGTACAAATCCGGAAATCGAACCCGAGACCCCTTGCCCGGCAGTCGCACTTACAACCATTCAACCACCGAGGCAGTCAGTCAGTGTGCTTCTTTTGACTAATAATAAGTTAATGTTGACAGTATTAGAAAAGCGGCATGTGCCAGGCATAATTATTGATAACGTCGTGGTTTGTAAAAGACCCAGCGATGCTAAAACACAAATTTTAAGGCATGTACAAAAAGGTAATGTGGTTGTATTGTCATATTCTATAACATATATTCGTATTCGGAACATATTAAAAAAAGAAGGAGTATCAACGCAGCACCAAAAGTGACGATACTAAAATCTAACGCCAACCCACTAACAATAAACGTAACTTTAATAAAATCCGTTTTTCCTCAAAGCATTTTCAGCATTTCACCATACCATATTACTTCATATTAATAATTAACATGAATTTTGGATAAGCTAGGATAATACATGGCCATTAGCCAAACGCCATGTGGCGACGCATGCCACATGTCAACTGATGACGTCACAAGAATCCTACATCGCACATGCAAAGTTTACAAGCGATTTAACACGGATAGAAAATCCCAACGAACAACTGTTGGGCAGAAAGCCCGCCAGGCACGATCACCTCGCCTGGTCGCAGGATCCTCCTTTTCCGATTTTAGGAAACTATACTCTCTGTTCCCTAAAGTGGTGACCCCGACGTGATTGGAAAACAACCTTCACTTCACGGAGCAGATTAGCACCGTCATCCGTATCGCCATCCCTCTCATTCATCACTTCTCCGCTGAGCGGTAATCAAGTCGCAGCCAACCAGCATCCTCGGCCTCATCAGGGACCACCATTACCTGCAACGAAGTTGTGCAGCCTGGTTCTTCCCTACGGCCTCACCAGCGTCTAGGCACAGCACTTCTGCACACGGTCTGAAGGACATCTCCTCCCGTCAACGCAGATGCCGGCCACTACGCACCTACCCTCGCAGCATCTCTTCCCCGACTCACCGTGGGACACTGCGAACTCATCTCTTCGACTCACTGGAGTTTCACCCTGCACCGCTGACCCGACTCACTGGGCACTCAGCGGCACGGTTCCGACCCACTGGAACTAGGGACGTTCTACACTCTCTCTCGGCTCTGGCGCCACTCATCTCAAGCATCGACAGCAGTCTCAGCGGAATCGACCTCCGGTCTTGGGAGGGAGTGATGTGGCGACGCATGCCACATGTCAACTGATGACGTCACAAGAATCCTACATCGCACATGCAAAGTTTACAAGCGATTTAACACGGATAGAAAATCCCAACGAACAACTGTTGGGCAGAAAGCCCGCCAGGCACGATCACCTCGCCTGGTCCGAGGATCCTCCTTTTCCGATCTTAGGGAACTATAGCGCTTGTCTACAAAGAGAATAGAAATCAAAATGTATGGGGATAACACTGACAAGTGTCAAAATTTACGTCAATTCCAAATAATTTGGTGTTCTATTCTACATGTAGATAAGCGCTAAATGGCATTTGGTTACAGCTGCAGGTTACCTAATTATAAACTTTAGCAGAAATTCTCTTTGAATTAAGTCATAATTTTGCTAATTACCACAAAGTTTTACACACATACACATTTCGCTTTAATCACATGTTTGACGAGGAACTCGACTAGTTTCAATCTATGCTAGAGGCTCATATTCATGAGCAGCATTTCGTGACCCGCGACGCGGCGACTGTCGTACTGCTACTAGCTGCAAACGCCGCGAGTCGAGTTCCTGGTCAAACAGTTACGTGAGGAAGCCGAAAACATAATAATTAATTTAAATTTATGTTAATAATACACTATATACGTAATCATCCTTACTAATATCCTTACTAATATTATAAATCGGAAAGTGAGTTTGTTGATTTGTTTGTTTGTTCTGCTTTCACGCCGTAACTACTAAACCGTTTGCTTTGAATTTGTGTAGACGTAAAGTTAGAAATCCGGATTAAAATTAAATAATAGGGTACTTTTTATCCCGGAAAAATTTGATGTTCCCGAGGGAAAATAAAGGAATTGGTATAGATGGCGCTGTGTGTATTGGTATATATCACATAGGCTACTTTTTATCTTTTTGTGACGCGAGCGAAGCCGCGGGTAAAAGCTAGTGTAACACACACCGGGCGTCGGGGATCGCGGGACGATCTCCGGCCACCGTAAGCGCGGGCCTGCGGACGGCGAGCATGGGTGGCTCCCCGTCCGACCAGAAACAGACCCGAGCGTACGGCGCGTCGCGTTCCGCGCGCGCCTCAAAGAGCCATCAGACCACCACAGATGGGGCCCAATAGGGCCGATGCCGATTCGGAGTCGCGGAGAACCTAACGGGTAACCGGGGCTCCGGCTCGACGTGCAGGAGAAAGAACGGGGTGGTTTTTAGTCAGTAAGAGTCTGACACTCCCTTCCGCCTCACCCAGGCGGGAGCAGTCATTCGACGATTTTCCCCCCTTAAAAAAAAAAAAAAAAAAAGTGTAATGATACATTTACATTGCATAACTATTGCAGTAATAGCTAATTTTAAGCAAAACTTAACCCTACGTACATTAGTGTAAATATGGAATTCTTGACCACTTTTTGCAGCGGTAAGCAAGGGATGTTTATCCCCCGTGGTGATGGACGAAGTTCTCGCTAGAATAAAAGATAAGGATACAGTAATTGAAGTCTTGAAGAAGGTTCGACAAGGTAGTTACATCCATCAGAGTTTTAGATTTCCATTAATTCTTTTCTATAATCCTATCGTCATTTAATAATGTTACTAGGCAGCTGATTTAGTTATGTTTATATGCAAATATAGTCCCAGGGCACATTTAGTTTGGCTGTAGGCTAATCATTAATCAACTCTACTCGTGACCAGAGGGCTGGCTATTTCTTCGGAGAGAAAATAAGCATTGCCATTCAACGTGGCTATGCTGCCAGTCTTCTAGGCACGTTTCCCAGTGACAGTGATGCGGACGAATTCTTCAACGCCTAACGGAATTTAGTTTTTTTTTGTCTTCGTTAATTTTGATTGATTGTATATATTTATTCATGATTATGTTATGTAGTATGAAAATAATAAATATGTAAATTACAGCATTGGAAAAGCAACATCTACCAGGTCATGTTGTAAATCACATTATGTTTACTGAAACGCCCAGTGATTCAAAAACAGACTTACTAAAGAATGTCCAAAACGGTAAGATCTATTGAAATACTTCTTATTTATACACAGTCAAAGCATTTGTTTCAATTAATCCTTACTTAGGCAATTTTGATTCGTCAAATTGAATTGTCAGTGAAGCTAAGTGCTCATTCTAAGTTGTAGTTTCGAATGGAGAAGAACGAGCAAGAAAATCCATCGTTAATCTTACACATACAGCTTACTAATAAAAATAAACATCACATGATTATAATTAAACGAACTATTGAGTAAACACCATAATATTTTTTTATAGCTATCGGCAAGAAACAACTATCACCTGCTGTTATGGACGATATTCAAGGAAGTATCAGCTTACGTGACAGTAAATCTAAAGTCTTTGAGAAGATCCGCAAAGGTTAGCATGCGAGCATTTTATTTTTGTGACTTTTTGCTTACTCTACTTCAAGGACATTAAAAAAAGGCAGATATAATGTCACTCAGAAATAATCGAAGCACCAAAATGTCCGTTGTGTATTTATGTGTGCGTGTGTAATGGGTTACCACGTTAGCAGACTTTAGAAAATGACAGTCCTTCGTGTCAATGTGTGTATGTTCAGCGTGTAAGTCTACAGTAGTCGTTTTACTACACCAGGAGTCTACACCAGGTGCCACAGCCGTTGTTTCAAGAGAATATGTTCGTTTTTTTCTACGTCCTTGAGCTAGTATTGTTAAACTGAAGAGTTAGTTTGTTTAAACGCGCTAATTTTCGGATATACTGGTGCGAATCGATTATTTCGTTAAAGGCAAATTTTTCAATCATCAGTTAATTCTTAACTGTAGAATAAAATAGAAATTTGACAGTTTTTAGTATGGTTAGCCTCAGTTAAAATTTATCTGGCGTTGGAAAATTGGCCCTGAAAAGGCTATAGCCACACGCTCATCAAACATCGCGCTGTGATTAAAGGGAGTCAAGCAGCGGATAAAAACACGCGGGAGTGGCTAGCATTTGATAAGTTGAGGGCTTAAAAGAAAAACATTTGATAATGTAATGTTAATTGTTTTGTACAAAACAATTTTCTATATTACCACATTTTCAGCTATAACGAAGAGACATGTGACTCCATCTACAATGAACGAAGTTATGGCTAAGGTGCATGCAAGTGATAATAAATCTGAGATCTTAAAGAATGTTCGTAAAGGTATGCTAGTGTCTGTTCAACTTAATACATAGATCACATTAGATAATTAATTAATATTTCATATATTTATTTAAAATTAAAACTAAATTACTAAATACTACTTGACAAAAAATATAAAATAATATTTAAAAATATGAAAAAATAGGAGCCGACCAGTAGCGGGAACATGGTCTAAGATACCGGTGGTTAGGGCTCCAGTTACAGAAACCTCCTTAAGGAGGATACGTGCCGTTTCTAGGAGGACTGCCATCTGTATCAGGCCCTTAATCCATCCACCTAACGCCAGCCTCCTAAGATGACTGTGGAGGCTTTTAGGGATTAACCCATTGGCCGACACGACTATCGGCACAATGATAGCTGAATCCACACTACAAATGTCGACAACCTCGTGAGCTAATTAATATTATTGGTATTCATGTTTTAGCTGCAGAAAAAGGGCAAATACCACGAGATGTCGTTAGTGAAATTCTAGTCAATGTGACAAAGTGTGACGATAAATTTAAAGTTATAGAAAAAGTTCGTCAAGGTTAGTCAACATTTTTCTAAAGTACTATCGGCAAAGTTTACGGTAGTATAATTTTTGAACAAAATCTTGTGGCAAACTGATGGATTTTTTAGCGCATTTTCCCTAAGGACGCTCGAGTGCATACAAATATCGCTTAATGATAGTCGACCGCTAACTTAGTCGATTGTACCTACCTATTATAATAAACATGTCTATTACAAAATTATAATCGTTTAACCAAATGTTATAAAGAGTACTAGAGTTCTTTTTCCCCAATAATAATTACCTTAAATAGCTTTAAAGAGTATCAATCTGGACTTGTCTTGATTCTACAAATTGCAGTTGTATCAAAGAGACGAGTGTCACATGGCGTCTTAGAAGCAATCTTGGGAAAGCAACAGCCGTATGATAAATCGAAAATTATGAAGAGCATTAGCAAAGGTAAGTTAGATTGCCAGTTTTTTTTAAAAACTGCCTCGTTGGCCTACTCTTCGCTAGTGCGACTGCCGGGCAAGGGGTCTCGGGTTAGATTCCCGGGTCGGGCAAAGTATTACTGGGTTTTTTTTTAATTATCAGTAGCAGAACGGAGTCTAGAATTGTGTCCGGTATATGGCAATCGGCTCACCACCTATTACATGGGACTCATAACATAAATAGTGAAAAGTGGGTGCTATATTGTACAGTGGTATAATGTACACCTTTGCCTACCCCTTCGAGGATAAAAGGCGTGATGTTATGTTTATATTCTTTAAAGATGCGGTTAAGGCAGCAGCATATTTTTCTCATACTACGTAGGTACGTGTTCTAAATCAATATGGTGCCAAAGAAGAAGAAATTATTCTAATTAATGACATCTATTTTGATTTTGTTACAGCGGTAGGAAAAGGACAATTGTCACCGTCTGTAGTTGATGACATAGTTTCTAATGTACACCCTACTGACAGCAAGACCGAAGCTTTGAAGAAAATACGTAAAGGTACTGCGAGATTCTAATAAAATACAGATACACAAATTTTTAAGTGTGTAAGAGTCATGCTTCGACACGAATGGGCCGGCTCGACCGGAGTGATACCACGGCCTCACAGAAAACCGACGTCAAGCAACGTTTGCGTTGTGTGAGTGAGGTTACTGGAGGCAAAATTACCCCCTCCCCTTCCCCAATCCGACTGACTGCACGGTTGGTGCGGTGGCTGGGCAACCGGCTGCCGTGTAACGTGTCGCGGATTCGATTCCCGCACGGAACAACACTTTGTGTGATCCACAGATTGTTGTTTCGGGTCTGGGTGTCATTGTGTATGTGAACTTGTATGTTTGTAAACGCACCCATAACACAGGAAAAAATCCTTATGTGGGGCAACGTTTTTTAAAAAAAAACTAGAAAGGTGCTAGAGGTTAGTTTTTTATAATTACGTAATTTAATAACGCTCTTTACAATTATATTATTTTCCAGCGATAACAAGGAAACATATTACACCTTATGTTATGAATGTAGTTCTTACAAATGTACAAGGCAGTGAGAATATACCCGAAATCATGGCCAATGTTCATAAAGGTAATAAGTAAATTGCATGCCCCTCTATGTCTACCAAAATCCTCTTAATGTTGAGATGATAATCTCCTGTTACAGCGATAGAAAAAGGACAACTGCCGCCAGAGATTATGGGTGAAATAATCAAGAAAATTCGTGCCAAAGACAATAAGAAACAAGTTATTGAAAAAGTCCGTAAAGGTATAAAAAGAAAGATATAATACAACATAACATCACGCCTTTGATCCCCGAAGGTGTAGGCAAAGGTGCACATTACGGCACTTAATGCCACTGTACAATGTAACACCCACTTTTCTTATTTATGTTATGTATGAGTCCCATTTAATAGGGGGTGAGCCTATTGCCATATATTGGGCGCAATTCCAAACTTCATGCTACTACTGATATTTATTTAAGCCCAGCAATACTTTGCCCGACCCGAGAATCGAAACCGAAACCCTTTTCCCGGCAATCGCACTTGCGACCACTCGGTCAACGAGGCCGTTAACAAGAAAGATAACTTGAAAATAGCAATATAAAGTTAGTATGTACCTAGTTAATTATTTATTAATTGATAAAATATAATTGTTATACCTAGCATTGAAAAAGAGACAAGTCCCACGTCACGTTTTGGACAGTATTTTCGCCACTAGCGTGACGTCATCTGGTAATACAATAGATGTTATGGATCAAGTCCGTAGAGGTAAGAGTTCATTCTAAAGTGGATAAAAATAGTTCAAAAATGGATTACTTCTTATATTTAATTTCAGTTTTAGTTCCAATATTAACTAATTTTAAGCATAATTTTATTCTGTATATCTATATTCGAACAAATAATAGTAAAGTTTATATGCTATTAATATAGTACATTAATAATAATTATGATCTACCGAAGCTACGCTGAATGGACAAATACCGCCTGCGGTGTTGGGTGAAATACGCGCCTGTGTGCGCCCTAAGGATGACAAGAGCGTAGTGAATGAAAAGGTTCGGCTCAGTAAGTATAAACTAAATAAAACGAGATAAATAAACATATTTAACCTGTTAACGCAATGCAAGCGCCATCGTCATCATCAAGCCTTTAAGGGAGAGCCATGCTTCGGCACGAATGGGCCGGCTCGACCGGAGTAATACCACGGTCTTACAGAACCGACATGAAACAACGCTTGCTTTGTGTGCCGAACCTCCGTTTTTTGAAGTCGATTAATAAGACTAATATTATGTTTTAGTTTTACAAAAGAAACACGTGCCTTCTTGTGTTATGAAAGATATCGTAGCTAGTAAGCAGCTTAGTGACAGCAAATCAGAAATCGCAAGGCACTTGCAAAAAGGTGATTGACTCCTCTTTTTTGTAGTTTTACCAATACCTTGATTACATACCTGATTTTTTTTTAATCATACCTCATTGTTTCATTTCTTGCCTTATATGAGTCGGACTATTCAGAGAAATCTTTACTTAAAATTGTTGTCTATAATATATATACTGTTTTTAAACATACGACACAAGGGAAGTTCTAGAACTTCCCAACCGTGCACTCACTTAAGAGATGATGCTTCTAGCATCACCTCTAATATGAAAATAACTATTACAGCACTAGGACATCGAAAACTATCATCGTCAGTGTTAGAAGAAATAGTCGCAAACATACACCCGGATGACAATAAATCACAAGTGTTGAAGAAGATTCGTAAAGGTACAATACTTTTCAGTATTTTGTAAACATTTCCATAAACATGACTTTGCCAAAAGAGCAAGGGTGAGATTTTTCGATTTTTTACATTTTCAATAGCAACATGTAATTAGAATTACTCCTGCACCATGGTAATCAATGGCTTTCTGCTCAATAGCTCATCACTAATAAATCAGGGTAAGATAAAGTGGGTACCACTAACACTCATTTTGATATGAGTCACTTAAGGGGCCAGTAGAATACCAGCGCAAGGCCCCGTCCATACATGCTGAACTGGTCCCATTTCACGGCAGACTTGGGACATAAACATGTATATTGTATCCATCAGTTCCCACTAATAAAATGACTTATCTGTACATGCCACTTGTTTTTAGCGTGAAATAAAGTTTTTTAAAAGCCAGGTTTTAAGTTATGTGACATATGTTGTTTACTTTTGAGTTCGTCTATGCACACTTAGTGTTACCTTCATCTAAGTACCTGGTAGACTTACGACAGCTGATTCATACAAATTACGTTCTGTATTCAAAATCTGGTACATAGCGGCTAGATCTAGACATTGTATAACAGACCCTTTATGTGTTAAAATAATGACTTGCATGTTTTAGCTGTTGCAAAAAAACATATGACACCTTCTACGTGGAATTTAATTCTCTCTGATGTAAACAAGACTGATTGCTCGAATGTAGTCATGAAGAAGGTCCGCAGAGGTACCTATACTGTATGAGTTGTTACTTTTATGTTGTACATTATTCACATACGAAAGATATATTATACTAGCTTCTGCTCGCGACTTTGTACGGGCAATCCCGTTTTCCCGTTCCCGTAGGATTTTCAGGATTTTTTCTGTCATAAGAACCTTCTCGTGGCAATAACAAACACAACAAAAAAAAATCAGCCAAATCGGTCCAGCCGTTCTCAAGTTATAATGGAACACTGGTTTCATTTTTATATATATAAATTAAATTGTAATTAACACAATAACAAGAACATTATAATAATTCTAGTGTGATGTGTTATTCCAATTATTGTGTTACGTACATATATACCATTTATTGTAGCCGCTGACATAGGCCATATACCATCTGTAGTGATGAACGATATACTTGCACGTGTTCTACCTGATGACGGCAAGTCAGATGTTGTGAAGAAAGTTTCTAAAGGTACACAGAGATCTTGTACTCATCTTGCAGAAATACTCATTGAATAATTAAAACACATATAATATTTCAGCGGTACAGAAAAGAAAACTTTCTAAAGGCGTAATACATGATATAACCAATTGTTACTTGCGACTGCGAGGTGAAGAACCAATCGTGGAGAAAGTTAAAACAGGTTGCCAAGTTTTACAGATAATAATAGAACTTATAGAATAAAAGTAAAATAAATATTACAAAGATATAAAATAATGTATAACTTAATAAAAGATTATACAGCGTAACTTGACGTAATCCTTCGGAAAGTAATAATATAACTAATTTCCTAATTTCATCAACAAATAAAAAACTACTGGTTTGATTTTAGTGATTTCTGAAAGTATTAGTAATAGTAAATGATTATAGATTTTCAACCGACTTCAAAAAAAGGAGGAGGTTACGCGATTACTCCGCCAATTATGAACCGATTTGAAAAATTCTTTTTTCGGCGTATAGGTAATACCTCAAGGTTGGTCCCATTTAAATTTACTAATAAAAATAACAACCCCCAAGGGTGGAAAATAGGGGATGAATTTATTTATACGCAATAACTCCGCCGATTTTAAACCAATTTGAACTATTATTTTTTTGTTGAATAGGTATTATCAAAAGGATGGTTTCATGCGAATTTGAAGAAAATATTTCAACCCCCAAGGGTGGAAAATTGGGGATGAAATTTTTTATACGCAATATCTCCGCCAATTATGAACCAATTTGAACGATTATTTTTTTGTTGAATAGGTATTATCAAAAGGGTGGTTTCATGCGAATTTGAAGAAATCGGGGCTTTCATTGATTCTGGTTAACTTTTCGTATGTTCTCATTTTCGAAAGTCTAGAAGTCCGCTGCTCATCACTCTCCTTTAATATATTTTTAGCATTTCTTTCTCTACTTTCTTTTAAACGCACTTCCCTTTCTTCTTTTGTTTCCTCCAAACGGCGCTGTCTCATTAAGGCTGCGCGTTTAGTAGGCCTACCCATATTAAATGCACTAAGGGTATCTACAGAAAAGTAACACTAAAAATTTTAAAATAAAATAATTAACTTTTTTAAAAAAATAAAACCGACTTCAAATGCGAGAACACAAAAAAAAACTAAAAATTAAAAAATAATTCCTAATACCTATTACCTAATACTATAATTTTTCTAAACTATATCAAAGTAATTAAAGTTAAACCATCTAAATATCTTAAAATAGTTATACTTATATACCTACCTATTGTTTTTTGGAGTCGGTGCCAGTAATAAATGAATATTAAACCTAATGAAATAAGAAAAAGTACTCAATGAAACAAAAATATTAAGAAATAAGTTGTATGTAGCCTGGTACAACTAAACCTATACCAACAAAGAATAACAAATACCTACAAATCCTACAATAGAATACAACAAACAAAAAAGAAAGCAATAATTTGAAATATTGCGCATTCGAAAATTCAGTATTTTTGACACGAGCGTCAACGTAGTCTGCCCTCAAGCGTCTGCCCGCCTTCGGGTCGCTTACTCGAGCAAGACCGCACGCGCCCGCGTCCCCCGCCGCACCGCGCGGCCCCGCCTCGCGCCATGCGTCCCCCGCCACCGCGTCGCACGTCTCTAGTTCGCGGGTAAACTTTAATACGCTGGCACTGGCACCGACTCCAAAAAAACAATAGGTAGGTATATAAGTATAACTATTTTAAGATATTTAGATGGTTTAACTTTAATTACTTTGATATAGTTTAGAAAAATTATAGTATTAGGTAATAGGTATTAGGAATTATTTTTTAATTTTTAGTTTTTTTTTGTGTTCTCGCATTTGAAGTCGGTTTTATTTTTTTAAAAAAGTTAATTATTTTTGACAACAAATTAATACTTAAATCACTTAAATCAAACCAGTAATTTTTATTTATTGATGGTTTTGTAGTTAAATCGGGAGTTTTTGACCAAAACCGAACATGTTGAATATCAAATTCAAATTCATTTATTGTTTGTTACATGTTGACAATAGATGTTATATATATTAGAGGTATAATAGTAGCATAGTAACATACCTATAAGGTGTACAATAGTTTATGTTATTTGGATTATTCTACTAGTCTCAAAATATTATTAAAAATTTTTTGTTGCATCAGTTAAATCATTACAATAAAACTATGACAAGTCATTACCTTACATTATCGAATATAACTGAATTATTACATTAATTTATTAAACCTTGGTCAAATTATTATATTAAATTTATTGAAACATTTAGTCAACTTTAATTTGATAGACAATATTAATCGGGTAATTAGTCAGTGGTCAAGTTGTACCACATTGGTCCAAATATTAACATTTGTCAAATGCCTAATGATGAAGTCCTTAAATAAAGAAATTAAAAATTAAAATTCATGAATATAAGTCAAAATTATACATAAAATTGTTGTATGTTGAATATTGAATATACTTTTACTATCAGTTTGTCAGAATGCAGCTATCCCATTGTCTTGTCATTTAAATAGTCCTTTATTGTGTAATATGCTTTATTTATCAAGAACTGCTTTAGTTTAAGTTTAAAGAGATTGATAGCTGAAATATTCTTAACACTATTGGTATCTTATTTATTTTTCACTCCAATAATATACTAGATTTAAATTTAATTGTCCTACATCTAATTTCTGATAATTCATTTTTATGTCGTGTACTTCTAAGCATTTCATATTTGTTGATATCACTTTTTACCATTATTGCGGCTTCATAGATAAATAATGAAGGCAGAGTTAAAAATTTTAATACTCCTGAACTTGTGCTTGCATGTCTGTTTAAGTCCGTCATACTTCTGACACTTTTTTTGTGCTTTAAAAGCTTTTTCTTTATCAGTAGAATTTCCCCAGAATAGTATACCATATTTTAGTATGGAACCCACATATGCATGATAAGCGTTTAACAGTGCATTCTCGTTTACCACTTTCTTGAGCATGTAAAGGGCATAGGAATGTTGATTTATTTTTACACAAATTTGATCAACATGGAGTTTCCAGTTAAGTTCATTGTCTATATGCATACCTAAAAATTTTGTAGCGGTGACTTCGTTTATAGTTTCGCCATTATAGCTTATCTGCAACGTTTTTGGTTTTGTATTTTTGTTTGTAAATGTCATGTAGTTTGTTTTATCAAGATTTATTTTTAGATTATTTCGGTTAAGCCAATTAATAATATTTCCTAATGATTTGTTTATATTTTCCTTATACGCATCTTTTCCATCGTCAGTAAAAATGGCAGTGCTATCATCCGCGAATAATATAATTTGCTGATTAATTACTTTTGGGAGATCATTTATATAAATAATAAACAAAAGAGGATACTTGATACTTACTATAATATCTCAGGAACTAGCCACTTTCGGACCAGGGACCTCAGGGCTAAAGTAGGAAATTAGTTGTATTATCACCTCCCGAGAGGAATCGTTGAGTTACAAGTTACCTTATATATATTTTAATATTCGAATATTGGTTATAGCAATTGAAATGGGTGAAATGTCACCTTCTCTTGAAACAACCCTAAAAGGATTAGCAAAAAATGACACAGAGAAAATCTGTAGTAGAAGATCTATATTTAATAAGAACTATCGTAAAGGTAAGTGGGTACATAGTCGTAAGACTCTTAATCTAGATAAAATAATAGGTTTTTGTAGCTGTGTCCAAAGAATAACTCTCACCAACTGTTTTAAACTATTACTCCTTTTTAGGGCTTTTCAAAACTACCAATTTTGTACAAAATAATGGTTGAGCTGACAAAGCGTAAAGACAAAAAAAAAAACAAACGAACTTACTATCGCATTTATGTTACAGTAGGTATAAGTTAGGATACAACTGCCTCGTTGGCCGAGTGGTCGCAAGTGCGACTGCCGGGCAAGAGGTCTCGGGTTCGATTCCGAAGTATTACTGGGTTTTTCAAAAATCTCAGTAGTAGCACGGAGTCTGGAAATGTGCCCGGTATATGGCAATAGGCTCACCCCCTATTACATGGGACTTATAACATAAATAGTGAAAAGTGGGTGTTACATTGTACAGTGGCATTAAGTGCCGAAATGTGCACCTCTGCCTACCCCTTCGGGGATAAAAAGGCGTGATGTTATGTTATAAGTTAGGACACATAAAGTTGTTATTATTTTTATTTCGTTTTTTTTTTCAGGTAGAAGTAAAATACATGTGCCTCCTTCCGTTAAGGAAGAGATGTATGCAGACTTACTGGCTAGCGAAAATAAGTCCCAAATTATAAAGAATGTTCGCAAAGGTGCCTCAAATACTTAATTTTATAATATGATGTATAATAAAAATGTTTTTTAAAACTCTTACTTTTTTCTTTCAGCTGCTGAAAGAGGTTTACTATCGCGCGAAGTCATGAACGATATATTGCTTAGTGTTCAGTCGTCTGACACCAAATCTGTTATATCTGAGAAAGTTCGTTCTGGTAAGTTCTGGAAAACATAGCGGAATATAATGTAATGTCTAATAAGAATGACAAATGATTCGCAGAATATTAATTTATGGCTTATTTTTTTATTCAGCTGTATATAAAGGTGAACTATGTCCTGCTGTCATGGACAATCTTAATCCTGATGACAAACAATCACAATTCGTGAAGAAAGTCCGTAGCTGTGAGTATAACCACATACACACATACTGCCATGTGAACAGTAAATAAATATAGATAAGCCTTTTATTTCATTCTTCCACGATGTTTGGTTAGTACATAACAATATGATCATATTCTATTAATAATGTTTAGTGCAAATAAGGTCAGTTTTATAATTAGTTAGTTAATTACATTTAGTAAGTGTTTGGCGATAGTTATTAATACATTTACCTGGAAAATATTTTCCCAGCTTTTGAAAAGGAATATGTAACGCCGTGTATTGCAAACAAAGTGATTGCTGATGCACGCAACGCTCGCAATAAAGATCAAATCATCAAAATTGTTGGTAAAGGTAAGTTTTGTTAGATATCATTAGAACAATAATTTTAATATGAACATATACATTTTTTAATGAAAAACCAATTTTGTACTTTTATACTACCTAGTTGTCGTGTTGAAAAACCTTATTTTATATAAGTGCGATTGGTGCTAAATTGGAACAAAGATTCTTCAGTCAATATTTACATACTTAAAACATATTTTATATTTATAACAACACAAAATTATTTTATAATTTCAGCGGTAAAGAAAGGTAAACTTCCACAAGGTGTCCTGGATGATTTAAATGCTAATATTAAACTTAAAGAAAACAAATCCGTTGTATTGAAGAAGCTAATAGAAGGTAAAACTGTTAATGAAAACTTTATTCTTACCTGTTTACACAACTCGAAGAGCTGCTGTAGGAACGGGGTGGTATTTGGTCAGTAAGAGTCTGACAATGCCTCTCGGCTCACCCAGTCCCGCCTGGGTCTGTAGTCATTCGATCATTTTCTCCCTATAAAAAAAACGTTTTTTTTTAAGAAATAATCAACTGACTAATATATTAATTAAAACATATAAATATGAGAAAATAAAGTATTGGAAGCATACCTGATAGATATACCCAAGTATTCTCTAATAACATTAATATAACCATGTGATGCGATGATCTCGTCCGTCCAAGAGTATAAAGAGACATAATCATATATCTGGGTTATTTGGGTTATTTTATTAATATAAGAAACTATTGCAGCTTTGGAAAAAAGGAAAATTCCCGCCAGTGCTTTAAATAACATAGTGGCAGAAGTACAGCCGACTGATAATAGAGCCGACACAATTAAGCGAGTTCGTAAAGGTACCTACATATGTCTGATGGCTTTAATAGTTTTTTTTATACTACGAGGGTGGCAAGAAAGCACACGGCTCACCTGATGGTAAGTGGTTACCGTGGTCTATGAACGGTTGCAACGCATATGCCATTACATGCACCTTGCCACCGTTTTCTGTTTTTAAATATAATATATTAACCAAGAAATAAAATTAGAACGCCGGTGCGGTCGGATTGATACCACGATCTCACAGATAACCGGTATGAAACAACGCTTGCATTGGGTTTTGCCATGTGAATGAAGTTGCCGTAAGTCCAATTCCTCCACTCTTGAACCTCCCTAATCCTCGAATTCCCAATTCTCAAATCTGTAACCCCCAAAAGGCCGGCAACGCCTTTATGATTCCTCTGGTTTTGCGTATATCCATGGGTGGCGCTGATTACTTACCGATCCATCAGCTCGTTTGCCGGCTAATAACTACCATAAAAAATGAAAATATTATACTGGTTTTATTTCATTTATAATTCAATACATATTAAATAATACTTTTTTATTATAGCTATCGACGATGGTCAGTTAGCACCCACTGTTTTGGATGATATCCTCATAAATGTAAAAGCTACTGATACTAAGCCAAAAGTTTTGAAGAAGGTTCGTAAAGGTAAGTCACAAACGAAAAATAATAATAGTCTGAAAACTTATAAATACGGAATAAACATGTATAAACATATTACTTTATTACGATCGACAAGATTACAAGAAATCTGGCAATAACGGATAATACCAAAACAGGTAGACAAAGTTGTATTAATTTTATTAATGGTTACAATATAAAATACATACAAGTTGTTGAATAATTTAGTGTTGCTCCATCTATAACTATTATATTCACAGCAATAGCTAAGAAGCACGTGTTACCATCCGTTATGAATGAAGTACTCGCTAATGTAAGGGCCGGTAATAACAAGGCGTCAATCTTGAAGAATGTTAATAAAGGTTAGATTTTTAGTAATTTTTCACGTGATAAGCAATCGGCGCCACCCATAGATATCCGCAACACCAGAGGAGAGTGCCTATAAGTGCGGTGCCGGTCTTAAACCCACCTTTAGATACATAACTCAAAATAAAGCTTTTTATACCGAAAATATGTTATTCTGTAGAATATTATTATGTTAAAAACTATTTGATTATATTTATTTCTATATTTTCTATTCTAGCGATAAATAAAGGCCAACTGCCACCAGACGTTAAAGACGATATAATCGCTGGTTTGAAACCAAGTGATAACAATGAAGAAGTAATGCGGAAGGTCATCCAAGGTAGTTCACCTTATATGTATATGAATCTCACAAACTATTGACCCAGTACACTGCTGCTATGCGATTTTATTAAAATATTACTGTAATAAATGATACTGATCCCAAGCATACAATACGTTGCATTCCGTGCGCGTCTCAAGGGGCTATCAGACCACCACAGATTGGGCCCAGTGGAGCTGATACCCGACTCGGAGGTGGAGATGATTGTAAATAAAATGATTGAAAAACTTATAATGATAATTATGATTTCAGTGATTGAGAAGAAAAAAGTCTCCAATTTTGTTGTAGACGATATACTAGGAAATTTAGAAACAAATAATCATAAAGTAAAAGTGGTTAATATTATTCGAAAAGGTAATATTTTACTAGTACATATAAAAGTCCAAAGTAATTGTTTAGCACTATCTAATAATAATACTATTTTAGCCATTGATAATGGACAAATGGCACCTGCAGTCATGGATGAAATAATGCTGAACGTACGAGAAAATGACCACAAGTCGCAAATATTTAAAAAGGTTCATAAAGGTAAGCTATAGTCCTAAACCTTGATAAATTATTAGTGTAACAATAGTCAATTTTATTTACTTAACAAATTGCGGAAAGCATTCTTTTGGATCAGTTGACTTATGAATTATAATAGCTTACAAAATAATAAATAGATTTGATACGCGCTCTGCTACGAAGTTCGGTATGTGGCAGGGCGTAGCGCGTAGCACCTTAAGGTTTCGTAGCTCATTGCTACGATTTCTTCGTAGCCATGACTGCCTAATAGAATTTAGTATATTTGTTTTTAATTACATAGTTTACTAACAAAAATATTTTCAGCTATTGCAAAAAAGCATGTATCACCGCATGCTATGAACGATGTACTAGCAAATGTAGATAAGAGTCAAAATAATTTTGAAGTCATCAAACACGTTCGTAATGGTACGTTTGTTGGATTATTCTCTACAAACACATTTAGCATTAATTTGTAAACTAATGTAACTAATGTTTATTAATTAATTATTGTAAAACATAATTGCTCAAGAAAAATAATTTACTGACCAACAGCAAAATTTTAGAAACCAAAATTTATAACGTTATGTAATGTTTTAGTTTTATTTTTCTTATATAGCTGATTCATCTCCGTTTTATATATTTTAGCGGTGGTAAGGAAACAGATACCGGCAGCTGTATTAAATGAAGTACTTGCAGAGATAGTGCCCAGTGACAACAAAGCCCAAGCCACCAAGAAAGTCCGAATAGGTAGGTATTATCTATTAAAAATACTAAAGTGATAGTATATTCTTATTTGAAACTTAGTAGTAAATTTATTTTAAATAAGTGAATTTGTTACAGCATTAAAGAAAAGGCAAGTCCCAGATCACATCATGAATAGTATAAATGATATTTTAAAACCAAGACACCAGAGGTTACCGGATTCTGGTAAGAAAATTTAAAAATGTATTTATGAATGTCAAAGGTGGTAAAAATAATTTTGAGTGAATGTATTCCAATATTTTTTTCGTCAGAAACAAGACTCAACATTACATTTACAATTAATTTTATATTAATTAGGTACAACATACAAAAATTATTTATTTCAATTATTTCCCTGAGCAATCGTTGAAACTGAACGTCATCGCTTTAATCATGTTCCACATTTCACAATAAATTTAAATTATTCATATTTCTTTCCGTTGGATTTTCCAATCGTGTTGCCGTAACATATTTAATTATTTTTTCCTTTTATGGTCACCATATTGGAATGCAAATAATGCAACAATTATGACAATTAACTAAAAATCTCGGGTTACTCACTTGAATATACTGAGAAAAGCTCTACTAGTTTTGAACCACGAAGGGGTTCTTCCTCATGAGCAGCGTGCGCGGTCGCGGCGATGTCGCACACGCTGCAAACTAATAGAGCTTTTCTCAGTATATTCACGTGAGTAACCCGCCATTTTTAGTTAATTGAGTATGTCTCACGATAGTTATTATAAAAAAGTATACAAATGCTTAATAATACCATCGGCCGTATCCATTCGTAATGAGAATGATCTATTTTTATTTTACGATATTTTAGGTTTTCTCTCTTCACCTACATACGACATAAAACATTAGTGAAAATACACCAATTTACAGATAAATATTTATAAAATCTAAGAATGTTAACTAATGATGCTCCCACGCAGCTGCTAAAGATGTTTACTGACATTGTGATAAGTAAATATTATCTCAAATGCGAAAAACAAATAAAATATGAAATATTAAGTAATTTGCAAAAATTTATAATAACAGTGTAGCTCCACCATCATTATTGTTACTTATCGCTTATTTTATGTTTAAGCTTCAGAGAAAGCTAAAAAACACGTGACACCGGTGAAATCCGTTGGTCTTGGTACCGGTACCGGTGTACAACAAGTAATGGCCGATGTCAAAACTGGGAAAAATAAATGTGAAGTCCTTTGCAAACTTCGTAAAGGTATATTATATTCTTATTATTTTTATGGGTTAAGCCGGTAAACGAGCAGACGGATCACCTGATGCTAAGCAATCCGCGCCACCCATAGACACCTGAAACACCAAAGGCGATTCAAGTGTATTACCGGCTCTTGGGGATTAGGAATTTGAGGATTGTTAGGGATTCGGGGATCAAGGATAGTGGGAAGGGGAGTAATTGGGCCTCCGGTAACCTGACTCACACGACGAAACGCAGCGCAAGCGTTGTTTCACGTCGGTTTTCAGGGCTTTAGTATATTTACTCACATAACTAAAACGTGACTATCGAAACAATTTAAAGTACAAATATGTAAAATGTACTAACTTTCATATTTTGTCTTTAAGACTTTGACTGCCAATAAAAAACTGTTGAAGGTAAATCCTCCGCTAACGCCGGTCACCGATGACCCCCATGGCGTTAAACGTGTTAAAGAATTATTGATACTGTCAAATAAAATGTAACAATATTTTACTTGGACTACAATTATTAACTCATATTGTATCCTGAACATTCTTATTTTAGCGGTTAAAAATGGAAACCTGCCTCGAACTATAATGGAAAATATTCTTGCTGTTATTCACCCAGCTGATAAAAAAGTGGATATTGTAAAGAAAGTACAAAATGGTATGAATATCACCTCACTCGTTATTGTACGTAAAACTGTAAAACTATCTTTATTCAAAATGTATGTTTCAGAATTGGAAAAGAAGCACATTCCCACAGAAGTGAAGAAAAAGGTGCACTGCAACCAGCAATCTGATACAAAAATCAAAATTTTACAAAAAGTCGGTGAAGGTAAATCTTTTAATAAATACACACATACATACTTTTGTCTAACGTACGTACTTGTAATAAATAAAATAAAATATAACCTTATCGATATTTTAGCGGTAAATAAGGGTCAGTTGTCTCGCAGCGTGTTACATGAACTAACAAATGATATAAGTCCAGAAGACAAAAAGTGTCAGATAATGAAGAAAGTTAGTAAAGGTTAGTAGAAGATCCAAGTAATCCATTTTGATTCTTAATGTATCCAACTATGTAGGTATATAATCAAACAATTTTACTATTTTAGCAATTGCAAAGAGACACGTAACAAATGCTGTAGCTGAAAATGTATTAGCCGATGTTTACAAAAGTAACACAAAATGTGATGTCTTCAGAAAAGTTGAGAAAGGTATACATTATAAACAAAGTAGTAAAGTAGAAAATTTGGAGGTATAATTAAGACTTTACAGACTTAAAACTAATATAGTATAAGCAAATATTGGTACAGCATTGAGATTTTCTCAAGTAGGATGCTAAATGTGAAAACACAGAATAACTAAAAGTGGGCAAAGCCAATATACAGCTTTTAAAAGTACATTTGATGTAAAACATATTTTCGTGATTAAAGTTTCTTATAATAAAATTGTTTTTTCTAGCCATTCAGAAAGGTCAATTGCCCCAATCGATCTTAGATGATGTTGTTGCTAATTTGAAACTTAGCGACAACAAGTCTGCAGTCATCAAGAAAGTTTGTAAGGGTAAGATCAATTACCGATTCATTGACACAACTGAAAACCATTATGACCGAATTGTTATTACATTATTTAACATAGTAATACTAGGTAGTAACATTAGTAGTACTAGGGGCCGTCGGTAGAGGGTGTCCTAGACGGACATGTACTGACCAGATTGGCGATATATTAAAGAAGGGCAAAATTAAAAGTACCCTTAACCGACAAACATGCATGAAAAGACTGTTGACTGGTGATGAAGCAAAAGAGGTATGTAAGAATCGTAAGAATTGACGTTCCATGGTCTCTAGTCATTGGGAGACAGGCGTTAAGTTATGAATATATGTTATAACAGTATTTTTATTATATCTAAATACAGCTATAGAAAAGAAGACGGTGCCACCAACACTTATGGATGACTTATTTAGCGATGGTCAGACTAGTGGCGATAAAACTGATGTTATGAAGAATATCCGTGCAGGTCAGATCGAACAAATACTTAATTAACTTACATAACAAGGAAAGAAAGTGATTTAATAGTTTATCAATTTTGCAGCGGTTGAAGAAGGGATCCTAGCACCCGCTGTTATGGATGAAGTGATGATTAATGTAACGCCCGAGGATACCAAATCACAAATTATGAAAAAAGTTCGAAAAGGTACTGTTATTACTACATTTTATTTTATTGATATTGACTTTAGTTTTAACAGTTATCCTAGAGATATATAAGTAGGTACTATCAATTATTGTGACAATATTATTCATTTTTGCAGCTATAGAAAAAAGATACGTAACACTCTGCGTTATGGAGGAAGTCCTTGCTACTATAAAACCAGAAGATAATAAAAAAGAAATTGTACAAAAGCTTTGCAAAGGTAAGTATAGATTGTGGTGACAGAATGAATAATAATACAATAATTTTGTACACAATTCCAGAATTGATTGCCTTTCGAACTAATGTCAATTTTGAATCACTGCTTTTAGCGGTAGCAAAAGGGCAACTACCCCAGTCTGTCATGGATGACATCCGCGAAGATGTAAGGCCAAGTGATACAAAAGAAGATGTAATGAGAAAAGTATGTAAAGGTAAAATCACAATCAATTTCGTTCCCAAATCTCCTTATCCCCAACCCTCCAACCTTACGCTTACCTCTACCTTACCCCCAAAAGGCCAACAATATATTTATAACTCTTCGGTGAGCAACAATTATTGCTTACCATTAGGTCATTCGTCTCTCTCGTTGGCCGTCCTGTACCATAAAACATATTTTATGTAATTCATCGTTATAAACCTGTTTCCGTCTGTTAAAGTTACATACGTTCATATACGTACAAATAATACATTTTTTAACCGACTTCAAAAAAGAAGTAGATCCTCTGTTTGACTTGTATGTATGTTTGTGCACAATTATCTCACAATTGACTGAATAGTTTGGATGTAGTTTTCAGAAAGACGGCTTTAGTATATTAATTATCCAACTTAAAAAGAGGAGGTTGAAGACGGTATTTTTAATTGTAGTTTATAAAAGAATTATGTGCAAATATTCAACTAAAATCCATAAAAGAACGTGTAACTTGTTTGTCATATACATAATGATAATCTTATACATTTCTAACCATACAGCCATTGAAAAGAAACTAGTACCACAACCAGTCATATGTAAGATATTGCACCCCAATGAAGAAGGATTTCCTATCATGTACAAAGTTCGCCATGGTAAGTCACAAAAGTATTGAATTCTACATGCATATACAATAATATACATACATACGGTTTAAAATTACAACAAGGAAAAATTAGCAGCAATTAAATGAAATGCATATGAAATTCAATGAACAACTCAAATATTTTCGCAAGTACACATAAAATATTGTTTAAATAAAACAAGCAAATATCGGGAGAAGCGAAGATAAATAAAAGCTGATATACAGAATAGATTTTTGTATATAGACATTCATTATGTAGTTTTCGTAATGACCCATATGCATCTTATTTGCAGCTATGAAGAAAAAGAAATTGACACCGTCTGTCATGGATGACATAGTCGCACACGTAGGGCATGGTGAGAAAAAAACTGAAGTTATGAAGAAAATTCGCCAAGGTATATACATCTATATCTATCTATACATATAATAAAATTGGATCTATACATATTATTGACAAGTCAAAACTGTACATTGAATATTTTTTTAAAAGTATACTTGAGGCGTGATTTGCAAGCGATACCGAAGCCAAAAATATGGTTTTTAGAATTTTTGTCTGTTTGTATGTCCGGTATGATCTCCAAAAGTACAAATTTGGCATAAATATTACTAAAAGGTCGGGTCAACATATAGGCTACAATGGGGATGATGACAGGGTATGAAAATTAAAAATATAATTAGTCCGTAAGTTAGGTAATGAAAAAATATTAGACACGTATTTTTTTATTTTGTCGTATAATAAAACAATACTTAGATAAAACGAATCAAAGTTTAGGAGTGGGGGCTAAAACGTCATTTCTTAGTATAAAATGTACTGAGAAGTGTCGTCACGCGACATTTCAAATCAATATATCTTCGAAACTATTCGTTTCTGTGAGAAAAGAAAAAATACGTGTCTAATGTTTTTAAATAATCTACCAGACGGACATTAAAATAAAAATTAGTCGTCTACCCTATTATCACGCTATCATCTACGGGGGAGGAACTGTGAATCACAATTCCACTCGAACGTAGTTGCAGTATTACACATTGATAATAGTTTAGTATAATAATGATAATACCTACCATCTACCTAATTGCATACGTGACCATTGTCATGTTTACCTTCACCTGCTTACGTAACAACCAGGTTCGAGTGCTAATCATTAGAACGCATCATCGGTTACGTGTGGAAGGTTGATTTCTAGTAGTAGTAGTTTGTCATCATTAGTACTATCATGGCCTTCGATTTCTTTATTAATTTAATTGCACCCAACGATATTTAAATAAAAAGGTATGGACAGGTTACCTAAACATCATTCGATCATGAATTCACACATGAATGTGTTGACGGCGCTTCGCAATGCTGAGGTACAATGTTGCTAATTTTCACATTATAACTTGCCTGTTTATAACCTGTCCCGTACCTACCTTGTTACTTATAATTCGGATTTCAGATGCGAACCGATCCTTAGGATTATTATCAAATTTATATCTACCTATATATATAAAATGTATAATAATATATTGTAATGTATATAAAGTAATATATAAAGTCGTGTTAGTTGCAATATCTATAACTCAAAAACAGCTAAATTGATTTGGCTAAAAATTGGTGGGGAGGTAGCTTAGAAGCAAGAAACGGATATAGGATACTTTTTAACCAAGGATTTCCCGAATATCTTACGGAAACAGGAAAATACGGGATCCTGTGTACAAAGTCGCGGGCAGCTAGTTTGATGATAAAACGGAAAGTCGAGATCTCTTTAGTTGCCGTCGTGTTATTATTATGGTTGTTTAATCTGTCGTGCATTCCTTATTGAATATCAACCGTTGTGGTTAATTTAATAATTATGTAGTTTCCTATTCCATTTGAGGAAGGAAATATATTTTTATGTTTAATTATGCAAACATTACTATCAAATCAAATGCGATAATGTTTAAAGTCAATATTTAAATGCAACATTAATTGTAATCGTTCGTAGGTATGTACTCTATAGCTACTAATTGATACTAATGAGCTAATTAAAACACAAATAAATTTGCGTTAACCATAATAATGATAATGCACAGTAAAGTTAGGGATTATGACTTAGTAAATGCAATAAACAAAAAGTAATAGCTTTAAATAAATCTAAATAAGAATTTGTCTTTTCAGCGGTGGAAAAAGGTCACCTATCGCCCTCTACTTTAGAAGTGATTAGAGATATAGATGAAGCAAAACAAGCCAAAGATATGAACAATGTGCTTGATAACTTAGATAAATGTAGAGACAAGCCTGCTATTATGATACATCTTCGCAGTGGTATGCAATATACAATACATCATATACTATTATCTAAAGCTGAGTTAGTTTGTTTGAAGGCGGTAGTCTCAAAAACTGCTGGACTGATTTTAAATATTCTTTTTGTGTTGCATGGTCCATTTGTCGAGGAAGGATATAGGCTATAAAGCATCACACTACCATCAATAGGAGCTGAGCAGAACGGTTAAAATCGCGTGGACGTAGCTAGTATCTATTATCAATAAAATTAAGTGTCATATTTTTCTTAATGTAGTCAACTTAACTCAATTCTTAGTAAACCTCTATCAGTTGATATTATTACAAAATTTACAATAATACATATTTATTTCAGCGGTGATCAGGGGCCAAATGCCACAGACTGTAATGAATGACGTTATTAAAAGTGTATGCAGTAAAGACAGCAAAGATAAAACAATACAGAAGGTCCAAATAGGTTAGTTTTTTGAAAAAAAAAACGTTATTTATTATTTTACCAAAACATTTTACAACGTCTTTGATAACGTGGTTATACAATACCTATTTCAAAAACAACTCATAATGATTTTATGACCAGCAGCGTATAAATACCTATTTATTTGTAAGACTCGAATAATTTTAAGTAGTATAGGGTCCGAGATGACATATCTAACTAACCTGTATCTATCTCTTCAAGAAGTATGTAATTATGTAATTATTATACATATTATTGTAAACTAAAGCCTCTGTACGTACCAAGTTCGTAATTAGACATTTTAAATTATCTTAGTGTAGAATACAACGCGTCACTATTATTTTCAGCTGTTAGAAAACGTCAGTTGCTACCAAAGGTAACAAAAGTAATTAAATCTAAAAATTGTACTAACCAGAATGATGCATTGATTGGCTCGACGGTCAGTGACATGAAAATGATAAATGAAGGTACCTTTAAAACAAGTACTTTTTTATTTTTAGCCAAATGACTTCTTAAATGTATCAGCCCTCTCACCTCATGATTTAATTTTCAGCCGCTAAAGCACATGAAATTTCACCCTCCGTTATGAAAATAATAAGAAATGAAGACAATGAAATTTACTTCGATACTAAAAAAGAATCTCCATTGAAGAAAATTATGAAAAATGATAAGAAAATTATCATTTGCAAAGATGATATAGCATCGTACCTAAACGATACCTCAAATGAGGGTGAAGTAATAAGAAGAGTTAGAACAGGTAACTTTGTACATCAGACTAAAGCCTATGTTCAGTCAATGCTTAAAATTACCAAAAATCCTTGTGTTTTGCTATTTCATTGCTATCATGATACCAATCAGACAATCGACAATCGTCAAAGATTTTGGACCATCATCCTTAATCATGTTTATTTGCCCTCCTCATTTTGTAATCCTATAACGTTTCCCTAAACAATTGAAATCGATAAACTGATTATGACTATTGTGCTTGTTACAGCAATTAAACAAGGAGAAATATCACCATCTGTCATAAAAATGTTATTAAACAAAGACAACGCTGGTCTTATATTTTCTGACGACATTCTTTGTGCTATTTATCCACATGGAAAAAACAAAAGTTCGGTTATGAGGTCTAAAAGTTTGAAAACGACAAAAGTATCTGCAACATCAATAGTAAAGTGTAAGCACAGTCAAAGTGAACGTCGTACAGACTATTCGTCTCGCAAGAGAAAAATAAAAAAACGGTTTTCTCAAACTGCTCCTAATACTGGTAAACCCAACATCATGTTTGATGGCATGCCAAAATACACGACGCCTGGAATCACTATCCAAAAAAAAGGTAGAACAAAAAAGAAATTAAACCCTAAAAACGACGGATTTCAAATAGCGACAAACACGAACGCAGAATATAGACCCACGAAACCAGATACTAACCATTTAAATACAAACCCCGATAAACATAGGGTTACTAAACCCAGCGCTTCTAAAAGCGACGCCATCACTTGTAAGCATGAGATGTTAAAACCTTGCATATGTGGCAGTGTAGTTTGCAAGAAGGAAATAGAAAAAATGAAGTTGTCACAAATGAAACCAACAAAAAACGAAGCCAAATCAATAGATTGTACATGTGGATGCAAGATGTGTCAAGAAGAATCCAAGAAAATTCTTAATGCTATAGAAAAGGTAAAAAAAATAAATGTGCTAAAGAAAGAACTAGAAATACTTGAAAAAGATAAAGTATGCAAATCGCAAAAGAAAATAAAGAAAAAAATACCAGTCACCGAAAAATGTCAAACAGACCAACTTAAAGCTAAACAGAAACGAGAACAAACGGTAACAAAATTGGAAAAAAAATGTGCTGATAACGAAAGGTTACGTCAAAAATTAACACATGAAATTAATAAAAGCGCACTGAGGCAAGTAAACAAGTGCAACAAATGCAAACGATCTGGTTCTAATGAAGACGACGCTGCCAAGATTTGCACAAATGCTATAACAAAGATATTTAAATACACATATAATACAATAATGAATCCAGACGAATTCTGTGAAATGATGCAAGATCCGTGTGATACCCTGAATACATATTTTAATGATAGAAAGGCTGGAAGAAAAAAGCGCAGAAAAAAGCGAAAGAAAAAAATGAAGAATAAGCGACACAGGACACCTCTAGATTTTGATTGCAATCCCTATGTACACATGGAATCCTTATATACAAAAGCTAAAACGCCACGATTATCTAGTTTTTTGTTTTTCCCCTGTATATTATGTAGGAATTGGAAAAGAATTTACAAAACACTTCTTTATATATCCGCCTTAATTATATGGTTTCCATGTTTAGCTTGCTTTGAAATTTTCAGATTTATGTTTTATTGTTATTTTGGCACAAAGATAAGTGGTAATCGTTTCTAATGAAATCAACTGTTATTAAAAAATAAAATGAGATTAATTGTTTTTATACTTAGCGTTTTATTAATGAAAAGAAAAATCATTGAAATTGTACGTGTGTAAGTACTGCACAAAACTGGGGGACACAATCCATCTAAGAGGAAAAGTTACATGTATTGGATTCATTGACTTTTATTCTTCAATCTTTTAACCAAGCCAAAGCGTTATTTAGGCTCTTTTGGATTATTTCTGACGCAGCCACAGGGATGTCGTGATTTACCATAAGATCAGTGTCATCAGCGAATGCCGTTACAACATCATGCATGAGTAGGTGATAGGTCAAAATCCGGGGCTGGTATACTAAGAGGAAGCGGTGCCTCCTCTACATGGTCTCCTCCCACCGGGGAGGTTTTAGTGATGTAAAAATTCCACACTCTCCAGTCTTTTTTCACAAAAAAGACAAAAATATATGCCTATCTAAACTATACCTATACAATACATTGACATTAGAGAGCTGAAGTTTGTTTGTTTGAACGCGCTATTCTCGGGAACTATACACTATTCTAATTTCAATATTATTTTTATGTTGGATAGTTCTTTTATTAAGCAGGTCCATAAACTATCAATAGGAGTCTAGTAGCGGCCACGCGGAAGTAGCTAGTTAGGTATAAGACAGATCGCATTTCGCTGCCTTGAGGAACACCCGCTTAGATTTCATAAATATTACTTCTAGCTTTCTGTCGTTAATATGTTGTTGGAAGTATGATTTGATGGTGCGAAATAAGTTGATTGGTTTAGATTAAACCTCTTATAGTATAATTACTTAGTTATTTTTTACCAGACTGAAAAAAGGGGTATAGTTTTTCACTATTCAGATAGGCTTGCTTATACGTGAGAGTGCCTTTTATGTTGCAACCTAAAACGTTAATCAACGTCTTTGTTTAAACTTGAGTTGGACCCATTATGCTATCGTGAAAAAATCGAACAATACCTCTTTTATAGAATTACATTTGCTTCAAGTGATCACGAACTCCTTGCATTAGTTTGTGTGTTTATAATTGAAAAAATAAAACAATAGGTATAAATATGATTGTGACATTAATTTGACATTTTATTCTTAGACATTTTGCTGTAATGTGCTAAGTAATATTAAGGAAAATTGCATATTTTTAGAGATTATGTATCTTGATGTAATTTGGAGAAATTACTTTGATATATAAGTTATTGTGGACTGTGTGGTCGTATCACTTATGGTACAGCAGTACCATCATGCATCAGCCATTGATACATTATACACGTTTTACATTTTAAGAAAATTTTGATGGTATGTTGTACTCATCTGAGCTTATTTTCTCATTTTTAATATATGCAGAGGCACTTCTACCGTTAAAGGAACTAAAATGCAATTTAATTTCAGAGTACAAATGGTGGGAGTGTCAATATCAAGATTTTATACAAGTTGTGTGAAAAATTTATGACAACAAGAGTAAAAATTGGCTCTCAATATAGTCTACCGGTTACAATCAGGAAATGAATGTATGTCATAATATAGACAAGTAAAAGCCACTTTTGGCTTTAGGGAAAATTAACTGTGATTAATTAATTAACTAGTGAGCATTTGAAAGGAACATGCCAAAACATCGAAGATTATCTACAACACGCGGTCAAACCGCTCTGTGCAACAGATTATGTAACAAATCACAAGCTCACGAAAATGTTATACCACTACAAAGAAAATCTACAAGTGTATTAAGTTTCAAAAAATCAACGCAACAGCTTCCCAGGGCACTACGGCGCAAGGATTTAAAATCCTTGACATATTTAAACAGTGCTTACAATGAACCAAATAAAGCCGTAACTTTAAAGTCATGTATTTCGTCCCAAAAACAAAATGACAAGATTAAAATGAAAGTTAAATTTTATATTAAAAAGACCGATAATAATCAGTCTTACTGCGCCAGTGCAACAAAATCCGACCATGACTTTGATAAGAGCATTACGAAAAGAAAAAAAGAAACCCCAAAACTGCACTCAGCATACGCAACGCTGCACAGCAATAAAATAGAATTTAATGGAACCAAAGACATGGCAGGTGATAATAACCGTTTAAAAATAAATGTAAAGCCAAAAAAGTCTTTTGAAGCAAGTGGACAGAAATCAATAATGAATACTTTGTTTTTGAAAAGAAACATTGCCAGTAAATTAAAAAATATAATTATTGAAAAATCTAAGCAATTTTCTGATACCAGCTTAAAACGTAGGAGGAATTCATTAAAGTTAAGATTCTGCAATAGCTACTCGTCGATCGTAGATTATGATAAATTTGAACACAATGTGAAAACAAATGTGACAAGAAAGCAGATCATTAGTAAAACTTCAAAGAAAACGATTATTAAGCAAAATAAAGTTACGAGTGACAAATGTAGACATCTGTCGTCAAGGAGTGAAACCACCCATAAGACAAATGCTAAATCAAATGAACCTCACGGAAATACAAGTTGTACTCCAAGTAAAATGTCAATTTCAACTATATTTAAAAACATTAACCTGACTAGCCAACTAAATTTAAGAAAACCCTTACCCACGCCAAAGCGAGATTACAGGAGTTCTGAAACCACGAAAAGTGCTTTATCAGCGGTACTTTATCACGATTTTTCTACTACTGGTAAAAAATTTAAATTATGGAGAAATCACGATAATTATAAAAAGCGACGTTCTTTATCAATTAGATTTGGTAAGCAAACTTCAAAACAAGGTCTCAAATATTTTAATGAAATACAAAACGCAAAAAGAATAATTAATACACCTAAAGCGAGTCAGGAATCGGAAGATCTTAATATTAATAAAATTAATGTTTTATCTAATAAGAAACTAAAACGAAAGCGAGGGCTGAAACATTTATTTGAAAGGACTAAATCCCAAAAAATAAATAATCTGGTAAAATCTGAAAAAGAAAAACAAGTTTCAAATAATGCAACTCTGCCTACATATGAATATGGTAATAGCGGTGTGAACTTTATTGAGAGTCAAAATAGTGCATTGGATTTTAGATACGCAAAAAACAATAATTGTAATAAAGACTTATCAAGTGAAAACATGGATGAATTTTCAAAGAATTTTAAGCAAAATAAAGTTCTTACTAATACAACAATTGAGAAAGAATTTTCAAATTCGACGAAACGACAAATCAATCCTGTGACAAAACTGAACAAAATAAACAATAGTGCTAATAATTCAATGGAAAATTCTTCGAACTTGCGTGTTACGAATAAATTATCTAACAGAATTTTTACATTCAATAAATGTTATGACAAATATAAAAGTATTAGTTTGTTATTTAGGCGCCAACCAGAATACACTTTACAAAAAAAAAATAAACAAACGCAGATTAAGAAATGTTCATCGAGAACAAACGAAAATCCATTGTTAAACAATTTCTTTCAACCACTGAAACACACATTGAAATCAAAACCTAGTGACAGCAAAGTAAAAGAATCAATAGTAATTTCCAATAACACAATAACACTTAGACCTGAACGTTCCCAAAATTCTCATTTATCAATAATAAAAGAAACTCAATCTATCGTATCATCTAAAATTAATCAAAATTGCGCAATATGTGATGAGAACTGTAAATGTCCTTTAATTAAAAATTCACAAAATGAAGTTAAGAGACCGGACAACTGTTGTATTGTTGAGCTATATAAGATAAACAGCAATAATCAGCTAGACGCTAAAAATTCAATGAATGTGAGTGATCGACACATATATAATTTAAAGGATACAGCTAAACAAAAAGAAACATATCCTACATTAAACCAAAGAGAAAAGTTGTTGAAAGAACAAATGTCATCAAACACAAACCAATCCAAACATTTAAAAGAACATGTAAAAATATCGAAGAAAATGAATAAAACCCAAGATAAAGTAGATCAAAATTGTCAAAGTGAAACAATAACAATAGCAACAATGAATAAAGCAATCGAAGTGCTATCGAATAAAGACAATACAGCTTTAAGCAAAGAAAAGAATAATTTTTTCCAACATCATATATACCAAGGTCTTCTTATATCTCGAAAGTGTAGACAGTGGTATCTAGCAAAAATGAGAGCTGTGGATAAGGCAGAACATTTACACCGAAGTAAAAAAACTGCGATAGTAAATAAATGTGAATTTAATCAAATAGAAGAAGAGCCCAAACCTGAAGGTCTAACACTAAAAGTAAATCCTCAACCAATACCTAAGGAGTGTATTCCGACATTTTTAGATAAGCCCAAACAATTAAAAGATGTTATGAAGACTCCGTTGCCTTCTAGTTGCAAACTAGATCTTGATTATTCAAAAAATAAACCTGGCGTATCATTACATTCTAGGAGAAAGAGTACTTGTGATCAGCAACGTCTGTCAAGTAGTAACAAAGAACAGGATATTTGCCAAAAATGTGATAGGCCCCTCTCTGAATGTGTGTGCAAAGATAAAGAGCAAGCCGACAATAAAATAGATTCTAAACGTAAAGTTTGTCCAGGCATTAAACCAAAACCATACGATCCTTGTCCAGATATTAAACCAATTGATCCTTGTCCAGGCATTATACCAAAATCATTAGATCCTCGTCAAGACACTAAATCAAAACCATTAGAACCTTGTCAAAGTAATATACCAAAACCATTAGATCCTTGTCCTGCACGTGAAGATAAACAAAAGGACAAACAGAAAGATAAACAGAAAGACAAACAGAAAGACAAACAGAAAGACAAACAGAAAGATAAACAGGAAGACAAACAGAAAGAAAAACAGAAAGACAAACAAAAAGATAAACAGAAACCTTCTCGAAAATCAACCAGCGCCGATAAAAATCTTGATAAAAAAAGAAAGAAAGATAAAGAAAAGCCATGTAAATCACAAATTAAACGTAAGTCATCAAGTCATAGTCTTATATGTAGTGATAAGGAACAACACACTGTTTCCAAATCTAGAAGAATGTCTTCTATAAAAAAGTATTTCCGGAAATCAAAACCAACTTGTGATCCAGATTGTAAGAACCTTTCTAAAGTAAAGACTAAAGATAAATCATCAAAACAGAGTATAAGCGACAAATGTAAAGATCCAAAACGAAGTTCTTCAAAATACGATGTTAACAAACGACAAAAGAGTGATAAATATAAAGATCCAAAACGAAGTTCTTCAAAATACGATGTTAACAAACGACAAAAGAGTGACAAATGTAAAGATCCAAAACCTAGTCCTTCACAATACGATGTTGAGAAACGACAAAAGAGCGACAAATGTAAAGATCCAAAACCTAGTCCTTCAAAATACGACGTTGCCAAACGACAAAAGAGTGAGAAATGTAAGGATCCAAAACGTAGTCTTTCAAGATACGATGTTGACAAACGACAAAAGAGTGAGAAATGTAAAGATCCAAAACGTAGTCCTTCAAGATACGATGTTGACAAACGACAGATAAGTGACAAATACAAAGATCCGACCTCAATTAGTGGAATTCTCCAAAAAAAGGGACTACTTCAAGATTCAGATACAGATTCAGATTCAAATTCAGATTCAGGCTCAGGTTCAGATTCAGGTTCTAATTCTAATTCTAGCTCAAGTTCAATTTCAAGTCCAAGTTCAAGTTCAAGTTCAAGTTCATATTGTAAGCGACCCAAAAACCGTAAACCATCAAATCCTAATCTTAGAGATGGAGATACAAAGTCATGCCGTAATAATAAAGTTCAACATAAAAATGTAATTAGGCATGATTTTGGTAATAAGAATCATTCTAAAACATTCAATAAATGTAAATCATCAAATCATAGTCTATCAAGTGAACGTAACAAACGTCTTCCTAAATCAAGTATGTCAAATTCTACAGTTGGAAATCTCAAAAAAAAAACAAAAAAATGTGATACCTATGATAAAGACCATTACAAATTACCCATTAAACGTAAATCATCAAATCGTAGTATAGGAAGTGGAGACAAAAAACAAAATATTTGTCCCAAATCCAAAAAACCGGCGCCCGTATATGCACATCATCTTATAAAAGAATCCAATCGTGCTTTTGATCGCGAGAGTCGTTCTAATTTACAAACTAAACTTAAACCACCAAATATTAAAAATGGGAAATATATTTCTTCTGAATCTATAAAACTAACACCTACACGTAGACATTCCATGAAACACGTAACTTCTATCGCTAAACAACCCATTTCATCAAAAAGCAATCAAACATTGTCGGACAAAAATCAGGTCACTCCCACTGGCGAAAATTTTTTACAAAATAAAATGAAAGCCTGTAAGTGTTACCTAAAACGTAAATTTATTAGACAGAGAAATTCAAAAAATAAATATCGGTGTCTTTGCTGTATATGTAATAAAAAGTTTTCCAAATGTGACTGTCTAAAAAATTTACAAAATCTTCAAGATCTGAATGAAAGAGATGCAGTCTATGTAACAAATAAAATTCAGAGTATTTATAAAAACACACCTTTTCAAAATAAATCACAAAATTCTATGGAATCTATTTCAAATCCGAGTAAAAGTAAAGACACAAATAAAAAACATAATGAAGAAAATATAAAATGTTTGATTTGTAAAGGACTCCTTCGTAAATGTGATTGTTTTTTCAAAAAACAACTTAAAGCTAAATCATTAACTACCAACTACTTTATAGAGGAAAATAGAAAGAACTCCCAAGAATATAATAAAGCTTATTCCGAAGGTTCATTTATCTCAAACCAATATAAAAGAGGTAGTTATTTTGAACGTTTCCGGCGCAAACCATCGGAAAATATAAAACATATTCTTACACAAGAATTTGAACGCCGAATACTAAAAAACAATCAAAATCAACAACTAAACGATCAGATTACAAATAAAAAACCTGGTTCGAAACGATTTTTTGATATAGGCCACCGTAAAAAATCTGACGTTTTAAATAAAGATATACGTAACTATATAGAACTTCTAGCTCAAAGAATTGAAAGTGATTTGTTATTTAACGTCGAACAAAATAACAATGAACAATATATACAATCCCTACGAACTCAAAGTTCTCAAAATGAGAGTAAACAATACAGTCCTGGAAAATCTGACAAATCAATTTCTAAACGTTCATACCCTAGTTTACAAAAAACTCGACGGGGTCATATCTACAAAATAATAAACGACCATTTATGTTTTCTTGTCCAAACAATTGAAACAAAATGTTTAGATCGTCTTCAACAAAACGAAAATAAAAACTCTGAGAATAAAAATACAGACCTAAGTAGTAAAATCGGAATCTCAAATACTAATAAATCAGCATGCGAGTGTATTAATAATAACGCTAGGGGAACAAAACCAATTGATAAAACTTTGCAAAAAGCTGGAAATACTAACAAATCACCATGCGGAGATATCAAAAGTGAAGCTATTATAACTAAATCAATAGATAACCAACGGGATAAAGCTTTGCGAAAATCTGGATTTTGCTGTCGAAAAAATTTAAATGAGCAAAAGAAGACACTTGAACAACCCGGTCAAGATACTACACATGCAACGGAAAAAAAACAATTACCTTGTTTTAGTAACGAAGCTTTGTCGAAGAAAGAAGAATGTGAAGGTTTTTTAGCAAACTTAATGAAACGTGGCCTAAGTCTTTGTGCCGCAAAAAAGAATAATGAAACACCGAGCAAATCACATGTTAAGCGTAGAAATCTAAGTTATCGTCGCTTAAGTAAATTAAAAATGAAACCATCAACTCAGAAGAAAGATGAAATAACGGATATGGATACAAATTCCAACGGTGAAGAATTAAGTAAAGGTTTCAATAAGTGTAAAAAGAAACCTTCAGATATTACACACAAAATGAGTAAAGAAAATCTAAAAGACCGTAAAAACGAAGGCTTCCAGGTTACACCAAATGAATTAAAGAAAACTAGAGGTATACGTTTCACATATCGGCCAGGGCCACGCGGCAAAGGAAAACCTACTATCCCGAGTGATGTAAATTGTAATAAGGTTGGTTTACGAGTAGAATCAAAACATTGGTTGCTAGAAAATCAACACAAACAAACTAAATCAAAAGGAATTAATATTCGGACTCGTTTAAATAAAAATAAAAAGACAAAGACAAAGAAGAAAAAGCTGAAGATAAAGATAAAGAAAAAGAAAAAAAAACCGAAACGTCAAAAACCAAGTAAATTTAAGAAACTAATGAAGAAAGAAGCAGACAGGCAATCAAAGAGACTACAGAAGAGACTTAGAAAAAGATTAAAAAAGCAATTAAGAGCAAAATCATGCAAAGGGATGTCAAAACGCTTGAGAAAATTTATTAGAAAACTAGACGTGGAATGTGACCTAAACAAATATGCATTAAAGCACAGGCCACTTCCTTTCGCTCGTAAACCTAGTCTTTGTACCGCTTTTAAACAGGCTGTGAGCTTTGTACTTGTTGGCGTCGCTGCAATGACCTGGATTCCATTCTTTATTTTATTCACTGTTTTTAGATGTTTACTCTGTTGGTAATAAAAAAAAATTATGACAATTGGATTTAACTGAACATGAACAAGGAAAAATCAGACCACACAGGAAAATATCAGATAAAGTACAGACTCCATACTACGCCGAGAATAAAGAAATCGAATGAGCCAGCATCATTATCATTATCCCCACCCAGTAGACATCCAATAGAAATCCGCACGCTTGGTAGGTAGTTCGAGATTTGCAGTTACGGAACCGATGCTGCTACCTACAATATCGATTTCTATAATTATTTTTTTATGTCGGCAAATGAGCAGGCCGATCACCTGATGGTAAGCAGTCGGCGCTGTCCCGAAATACTAGAGTCATTAGAGGCATTGCATCAACTTTTTGAGGGTTAAACATTTATAGACTGAAAAGGAGAGAATTGACCTTCGATAATCTCACTTACACGGTGAAACACAACACAAGTGTTGTGTCACGCCGCTTTTCTTTGAGGTTGTGGTATCATCACTTCGTGTCGTCGGCCGAGCGCGACTTAAGCATGGCTCTCACTCACTTCGGAATAACAATGCTTGTAGTCTAGTGATAACTCATACTATGTCAATAAACCAACAAAATTATTTTTTTTTCTTAAACGAGCCCACGGATCACCTGATGGTAAGCAATCGGCGTCGCCCATGGACACCTAGAACCAGAGGCGTTACAAGTGCGTTACCGACCTTTTGGGGATTAGGAGTTTGATGATCGTTGGGGATTCAGGGATTGGGGAGATTGGGTAATTGGTCCTCCGGTAACCTCATTCACATAACTGTACAAGGTCACCAAACAGTGCACAGTTTTGAAACGTTAGGAAACACTAGAATTTCTCCTGTATCGTATACGAACATACACTTGGGACCGAAGAAACAGAGCCACTAACGTTTTTTTTTTTTCATTTTATTGAACCCCTACCTATAACTTAAAAAAGATTCCTTTTACACCATAATGTTCTCATTTTGAAGGTAATTAAATTTTTAGTAACTACATTCTGTTTTTAGAAATAGAAGAAACAATTACGAAGAAAAAATGAAAAATAAAATAGAAAACAAAAAAAATAAAAGGCACATTCGGACCGAGGTTTGAACTCGAATCTCGAGCGTATCAGGCGTCCGCTCTTCCCTAGTAAATCATTTTTAAACTCAACTTCAACTTTCCAAAACCCCCCGAATACAAAATTCCAAGAAGATCGATGGAGCCGTTTCCGAGATCGTTATATGTATACCCATACAAGAATTGCTCGTTTAAATGTTTTATATGTTAAAATGTTAAAATGTTTTATAAGAATTGTCAAGAAATAGTAAAAAAGCTAATGGCTCCCTTTCTTTATTTCGAGGTGTAAATACACATGTCATACACATCACATCCAGACCCGAAACCACAATTTGCGAAACAAACAAACAGTTCTTCTGTGCGGGAATCGAACCCACGACTGTCACTGAGCAAACCCTGCAGTCACATATTTATAATTTGTCAATTCAGTGGTCAAAATGGAGCAGAATGAAATAAAACGCAGCAAAAAAAATGGCGAATATATAGTTTCACTTCATATATAGGTACTATCAATAGAAAGGAAGAAAGAAGTTTCTTCTCTTTACTAAAAAAAAAACTACGTTTGAGAACCGACTTTAAAAATAAAAAACAAACAAAAACTAGAAATAACCATTATTATTATGGTTATATTTCAAACCAAAAAAAGATCCATAATACTTATCGATGTAATGAGAGTAATCGTGTAGCACATTTGAAAACTTAAAGACGAATTGATAACCTCCTTTTTAAGAAATTAGGTAACATAGAAGATTTAATGTTAAGAGTTTTATACTTAGAGGATAATAGGATGGCGTTTGGTCACCGTGACTGCACGGTTGGTGCGGTGGCTGGGCAAACGGCTGCCGTGCAACGTGTCGCGGGTTCGATTCCCGCACGGAACAACTCTTTGTGTGATCCACAAATTGTTGTTTCTGGTCTGGGTGTCATTGTGTATGTGAAGTTGTATGTTTGTAAACGCACCCACGACACAGGAGAAAATCCTAATGTGGGGCGATATTAAAAACAAAAAAAAACAAAAGAACCATATCACCTGGTGGTAAGCGAGGATGTGGTCGACGTTGGAGCTTTTCTACCTACATATAAGCAACCTGTTCACTCGAGACTTAAAGACACCTAATCTGTATTTTTCAGGAAATACAGTAGAATGTAGAGTTTAACTTAATTTAATTTAAAAGAGTACAATTTACAGTAGAATGCGTTAAAGCATACGCAATGGAATACCAACTACCTATATAGGAAAATACAAACTATGAAAAATATGATTAATAATGGGATTTGTAGCGAATAGGTAATAATAATTTGAGGAAGATTTAGTACAGAATACAGTGTTCATCATATAAATAAATTAATTAAATGTCAGACCACATCGGGAACAGTCATTGTTCAATGAGCTTGAGTGCCGTAACCATGTGGGGAACTGCGATAACTATTGTTTTGTTTTCATTCGCTCCTTTTGGTAAGTTTCATTATTTTGTTTTTATAGTAACTATCGTGAGACATACTATATTAACTAAATATCGCGGGTTACTCACGTGTGAATATGTATACTCAGAAAAGTTCTACTAGTTCCGAGCCACAGTATAATAACTTGAGTAACCCATGATATCTAGTTCATTTCATTATTTTAATGAATTATCTATTTGTTTTCATTTGAGTTTGTACTTTTGTTTTACAACCTTTTCTTTGACTTGCAATGTATAACTATGTACCTATGTTTGTGAAGTGGATTGCAACTTAACCGATTGAGCTGCAATTTTGTAGAAGCTTAACCAAATCATATCACTTTCAGTTCAGTCATAGCTTGTCGTGACATTTAGGCAGCTACCAAAACATTGATATTTATCATGTGGTTTTAGATTGATCTTTTTACTACAAAAAATGTAATAAGTACTTCAGCTTCAGCACGTTTAGTTTCCTCAATGTATTTAGTTAAAAATTTGTACAAAACCAGTACATGTCATAAATGTTTTTATTAATTTGACATTATTTATTGAGGAGTAGTTTAATGAAACTCGGTGAAAGATTTACATCATATTTTTAACCTTGTGTGAGAGGAACCTTACCTTTAAGTTTACCGGAGGCCCAATTACCCACCTCCCCTCCCGGTCTCCCCAATCCCCTAATCTTCCACAATCCTCAAATTCCCAATTCCCAAAAGGCCGGTAACGCACTTGTAAAGCCTTGTTTCGGTGTCCATGGGCGGCGCTGATTGCATACCATCAGGTGATCCGTCTGCTCGTTTACCGGCTTTTGCCACAAAAAAAAAACTTAATCGTCTACCACTCTCATTCTAAATACTACAACGTATGAATTCCATTTTTATTGAAATTCATAAGAAGTCAAATATTATTCATTGCAGACCTTCATTGTATTTTAGAGAGTAAACCTATTGTTTACCTCTGTTTGTATCTTTATACGTTTTAGTGTATTATTCGAGGAAACATAACTTACCTAAGGACTTCTAAATGTTAACTAATATGCGGTAATCGAAGAGATGTTAGGTATAGGGTAACACTAAACAAAATAGGTATTATAAGTAAACCCTTACTGTGGTAAACACTACGTATACCTATGTAGGAAAGAATGAAAGTACCTATTTCTTTGTCTTTATTTTACGTCACAAATTCACAATGGAGTAAGCCCTATATTTATAGAAAGATATTCAAGCATAGTTGGAAAGGATTTTTTTTTTTTAAGGGGGGAAAATCATCGAATGACTGCTCCCGCCTGGGTGAGGCGGGAGGGAGTGTCAGACTCTTACTGACTAAAAACCACCCCGTTCCTTCTCCTGCACGTCGAGCCGGAGCCCCGGTTACCCGTTAGGTTCTCCGCGACTCCGAATCGGCAGTTGGAAAGGATTGCACGTATCTGTTGAATGTATTTGCATCCCTTTCTAATTAACTACCGGCTAAGTTTACGTCTGAATTTAGTTCAGAATCTGAACAATTATGACATAGAAATCTATTTTTCCTCTAACCGCAAGGTTAGACATAACCCGCATGGATTACGTCTTGGACGGTAAGTTAGTCCAGTTACCGAGCCTGTAGATTGTCTACTAGGTTCGTTACTCATAATTTTACTCTCAAAGTAAAACCCTGAGTTCACTGTGATATTGATGACGTCACGATATAATGCATTTAATATTTAATTGTTTCTATTATTTTCCTTATAAAAGTAGATAGGTACAGTACGTACCTAAACTGCCATGTATGTACAATTACTCAAGTATTTTTATTATATTGCCTACTTACACTACGTTAATAGGAACTAGTTTTTACACGCGCCCGTTTTCGTTCGCGTGGAATAGTGACTTCCGGCAGATTTTTGGTTTTACCCACATAGTTACCGATCTCGCGGGTTTTTTAAAAGTTCCACTCCCGCTTGATTTTCAGGAAAAATCTATCCTATGTCCTTTCTCGGGTTCCAAACTATGTCTGTACCAAATTTCATCCAAATCGGTTCAGTAATTTAGGCGTGAAGAATAGACAGACCGAATGACAGACAGACAGAGTTACTTTCGTATTTATAATATTAGTTTGGATAATCATAATAAGGTAGGCACTTCCAACAGTTAATTATCTTCCACGTTTTAATAATCACGACATAGCATTGAAAAATTGGGCCTAAGTAAAATACGGAAGATACAATACATTGCATGCTACAAATTGAACACGACGGACGAACATGATCGCTTTCAGCTGTTTGTCCCCATGTACCTATGCTTACATTTTTATAACTATGCAACAGATTTTGATGCGGTTTTTTATAGACAGAACTCAAGAGTAATTCAAGACGTAGGTTCGTATTCATATTGTTTTATTAAACTCCTTATTTCGAATTAAAAGTGTACAAAACTATGGGAAAAGTTAACTAGCGACATATATTTGTCGTAGGTATCGACAATAAAATAAAAAAAAATCTTAGTACCTACACGTTACATAAATAAATGATTTAAAATTGATTGTTCGTAAATCGGATTAGTTTTATATGTGGGATAAATGTATATTTGGAAATGTAAATAATTATACCTAGTATTAGACAAATTCAAAACTGTGATAGAGTTTATCTTACTTGATATTAGAAATTTATTGGTTTTAAAACCACATTGTATTTTAGAAACTCAGAAGGCAGGAAAAGTAAAGAGTACCACCATTACAATGCACCTTATATTGTTAACATCGAAATCAAATTACAAAATCAGGACTAGCTAAACTATAACTATTCATTAGAAAGAAAAACAACATATAAATGGGCAAATTGAGTTTCAGATAGATTAAAATTCCCTCAGCACCAAATACGCCGTCTCAATAACTTTCGATTCCGAGTTCCCGCCATCTTGACTTTTTCATTTTTCGAACCACAGATTATATTTTCTCGCTACGTGATGACTTTTCGTTTTTTTTTTGTATAAGCTTCTAACACTACTTTTTTTGCTTTTCAGTTCTGACGAAAGATGCTGGCGGACAACCAGCAATTAACAAAACAATGTGTTTAAATTCAACTGAAGTGATTGTAAGTATAGACATTAGGCATTAGGTACTCACAACATATCTATTAATTATTTCTTATTCAAGGACGGTATTATCTTAATTATATATATTAAGTACCTATCTATATAAGATTGCTTACCTACCATCAGGTGATCCGTCTCCCCATTTACTCGCTTATCATATCACATAAAAAAAATATTTATATTATTTTCTACATAACAATAATTTGATTATATTACTTACACGGTTGACGCAGTGGTTGGACTGCTGAGCGACGTGTAGCAGGTTTATATAAAACAAAACCTTCCGGAACAACTCTTGGTGTTAATTAAATATAAGTGAGAAAAGTTCTATGGCTTATTTTAGTCTTACGCTGACCGTCAGCCCTCATAGTTCAGCGCCTAGTTTGTCAGCGCATGGCTCATTTTACAGCCCATTAGTTTGAACTTCAAGTCACAATGCAACTGTAATTCATGAGCAGTATGCTGACTAATTTTCAATATGTAATGTGTGTAATATAATATAATATAATTTCACCAAGCTACTTATCTGAGTGTGAAACCCAGGAACGGCTTGCAGATCAATCATGTTAGTTTAGCTTAGCTTGCGTAGCTGACACATGTGCGCGTAGTTATGTGTAGCCTGCAAACTTAGCTATGTAAGCTGTAGTTGGGCCATTACAAACGTTATAACAGTTGGTTACGAGTCAGTTTTATCAGATATCTCGCTAACCCTTTGCTCGTTTTTAATGCCCCAACGATAACTACAATATGCTAAGCGAGCTAAGTGTGCTGATGCGCAGTTGTGCATTACGAAAGTATGTATGTCAGAGGAAGCTGCAGGAGGAAAACGAATAACCACAGTCTGTCATATCTATACATTAGAATTATTATGTATAATTAATTAAAATTCTTATTTTTCAGGAAAAGAGTAATGCAATAAACACTTGTTTCAAAAATGTCGTGAATAAACATTTAGACAGTTCCTACGCTGGGTGAGCATTATTTTAAAATTAATAAGAGATACAAAAATTTCACCGATAAAGTATAAATACGTATCTACTATAACATTTCCACTTTTTGCCTGCTTTCATTACGTTTTAAAAACTTAATTAAGTAGTTGAAAATACGTAACGTAAAAAAAAAGTCAAAATCATTTATTTCAATTAGACCAGAAAGGCACTTTTGAACTTCAATAATAAAATTAAAAGTGAAGCTATTTGCTCATTCCAAGGTGTACTCATTTTAAACCAGTAGAGCTTTTCTGTGTCATTTCCGTGTAAACCGTTATTAAAATCATTTATTATCTCATGCCTCGATAGCTATCTTATACTTTTCATAGTCTTATATTATTATAAAGCTGAAGAGAGGTTTGTTTAAGTAGACTATTAAGATTGAACCAGTAGTTCAGAGATCTCTGAACTACTGGTTCAATCTTATAGTCGATTTATCGAGAAAGGCTAATAGGCTATAAAACATCACGCTAAGTTCCGGTCACGGTACAGTAGAAACCGAGCAGAGCGGGTGAAACAGTGTGGTAGGAGCTAGTTTTATGATATTTGAGAGAGATGGTTAGTTAATTACTATGTTTTCGGTATACTCACGTAACTGTTTGACGGGAAACTCGACTAGTTTCAAGCCATGCCAGAGGCTCATATTCATGAACAGCATTCCGCAACCCCCGAAGCGGCGACTGTCGCGCTGCTACTGGCTGCTTTAGTCGTTTATGGCGGCGCACATGACACTGCTGGCATGCTAGACTCGTTCGCTGGTGGCCACGTAGATGTTGAACTCGAATCCCGGGTCGTCGACGCAAAGACCAGTGTTAACACAAACAGTTACGTGAGTCGAAAACATAATAATTAATTTGGATGTCTCACGAAAGTTTTAATAATTATAAACTTGGTTAGTTATTACATTATTTATTTCTCACAATGAATAAATTAATTTCAGAGATTGTACCATTCCCAAAATGGAGCAGTATATTAATGCACATCGGAACACATTGAATGCTACATGTGGGCTTAATTTTCTTAGACTAAATGCAACGAATTTGATGAAGTACATTGAGTTCAGTTTGAGCAACCAAACTTTTAAAGGTAAGCGACTTAGTTAAGCAGTATTTGGTCTAAAAGTAAAATAGTTTGGCATCATGGTTGGCTTAATGGTTGGGCTAACAATATCATTATGTGACCAACAGACAGTTAACCTCTTCATGAAACGCAACCGGAAGTGATTTTATGAAGTGAGTAAATCAGAGCAGAACAGATAAGTAGATGTCTGGCCACATAATAGGTACCTAGATTATGTGAATTTGTAAGTACATACCTAGGGGAAGCGTGCCCACGTTAAGCCTTCCGGTCCGCAACTACCACTCGAATACCTAAATGGATCGATAACATCGCCAGAGTCGCAGGGAGCTAAAGGAGGCCATACACGCGGGATTTTCATGATCGTTTTAGCCGTGCATGCATAACCGACAGGCAAGCCTTAGTGTGTTGGGCTCGCTGCCATTGCAGCGGTAAGACCCCTCTTTGAGGAGTGGCTTGAGAGACGCTACGGCGTCCTCACCTACCGCCTGACGCAGGTCCTCACCGGACATGGAAGTTTCGGGAGGTACCTGTGTCTGATGGGGCGGGAGGAAACGCCCGAGTGTCATCACTGCGAGGACCGCCCTGAGGACACGGTGGAACACACCGTAGCGGAATGCCCTGCGTGGGCTGAGCACCGCCGTGCCCTCAGGGAAGTGATCGGCGATGGCGACCTCTCGCGTCCGGGCCTAGTGCAGGCCATGATGCGGAGCGAGGGGGACTGGGATGCCGTCTCCTCCTTTTGCGAAGCAGTCATGCTAGCTAAGGAGGAGGCGGGACGCGTGAGGCAGCGAAGCGCTGCCTCCTCGCAACCCAGCCATCGCGAAGGACACACCGGGCGTCGGGGATCGCGGGACGATCTCCGGCCACCGTAAGCGCGGGCCTGCGGACGGCGAGCATGGGTGGCTCCCCGTCCGACCAGAAACAGACCCGAGCGTACGGCGCGTCGCGTTCCGCGTGCGCCTCAAAGGGCCATCAGACCACCACAGATGGGGCCCAATAGGGCCGATGCCGATTCGGAGTCGCGGAGAACCTAACGGGTAACCGGGGCTCCGGCTCGACGTGCAGGAGAAGGAACGGGGTGGTTTTTAGTCAGTAAGAGTCTGACACTCCCTTCCGCCTCACCCAGGCGGGAGCAGTCATTCGATGATTTTCCCCCCTTAAAAAAAAAAAAAAGCCCTAGTGTGTATATATGATTAAACTGTACAGTTATCGGTGCATCGGTGCTCGGTTATGCTTGTCGGTTTTGCATGCACGGTTATAACCATCATGCATAACCTAGCGTGTATGGCCTCCTTAAATGGATGCAAGTGGTGAGTTGTCGTTCGACTGGAGGACTAAGGAGGAGGCCTTTTAGCTAGTTCATTCCTTTTAGTAGGAGGTTCAGTAGGGTACGTCTTCCGGCTGTTGATGATGATGTTGTATGTACAAACATGCTCCCGGGCAGTCCCTGGACATAAGAAAATCCTAGCGGAAAATAACAATCGAAATTTATTGATACCTACCTACTTACTTACTTAATATTTGTTTATATTTTTCAGAATTTTACGGTGACGTCAACTGTGTAAAAACATTAGAAAAAAATATAACTGCTTGTGTAAAAGATAAGGTTGGATATACCACTATATCTAAAGAGAGAAAACACTCTGGTTGGTACAAAAAAATGGACTTGGCATATGCTGTGAGTTTCTTGTTTATTTTTTATCTAACCTTATGACTGCACGGTTGGTGCGGTGGCTGGGCAACCGGCTGCCGTTCAACGTGTCGCGGGTTCCATTCCCGCACGGAACAACACTTTGTGTGATCCACAAATTGTTGTTCCGGGTCTGGGTGTCATTGTGTATGTCAACTTGTATGTTTGTAAACGCATCCACGACACAAGAGAAAACCCTAGCGTAAGGCAACGTTTTTTTAAAAAAAACCATCCCTTTACTCCCACGAACATTTCAAGCCTAAAATTAGCCAAATCGATTCAGCCGTTCTAATAACGAACAGAAACGCATTTTTATTATAATTATAGATATCAGATGCACAAAATTACACATGAAAGCACGTGTTGCTAGCTCCTTTGTGTCAGTCCCACGTAAGCCTATTGCCATTTAAAACTCCGTGCTATTTTATTTTATAAAAAAAAAACCGATCAAATTCCAATAGTAATACTTTACTCGACTATCGTAAGTTGAACACGATGAGACCCCTCGCTCGGCAATCACTTGCAACCACTCGACGTGACACCCCGATGGTAAGCAATTGGCATCAGACGGCAGCATTGTCGACCTTTTGCAATAGTGGATGGAAATGAAGGTTAGGCCTCCGGTAACACAACTAAATACAATGCAATCATTGTTTCAAAAGGTAACAATAAAATGCTCCTAACGCAGTGTCATTTATTTATTGTCGAATAACAACTATAGGTATAATTACAATGTACATGGCACCATAATTACAATGTACCTAATTACTGCTATACAAAGCCAATTACAGCTTTTATAAATTATTCTATTTTAGTAAAACACTCAAATTATTTATATTAAAACGGCACATCTCAGGGACCATTACAGCTTTCAGTTAGGTATTACCTAACCTTTATACTTATAGGTTTTCCAAGTTTTTAAGTGTAGTTTTGTAACTGTTATATATTTTGTTACAGCAAAGGAATTGTGACAATAGTAATCGGGTAAAAGAATGCGTATTGAAAGTTCTGAGCACATGTAAGCCGAGCACAAGCAAGTATGTCTCTTCATTATTTGACTACGCACACAGCAAATGCTCCAACCTCACGAATTTAGAGTCTCATGACGTAAGTAAACTAGTAATAATATTAATTTACAGGCTCATTTACCCCCCTCCCCAGTCTCCCCAATCAATCCCCGAATCCCCATCAAAAAGACCGGTAACCGGTGTCCATGGGCGGCGCCAATTGCTTACCATCAGGTACAGTCTGCTCGTATACCGGCTTATCCCATAAAATAGCGTAACTTTGGGCATAAATAGTCTCTGGTAGTGACTTATTGAAGGCCACAATAAATATCCGATATCGATCAAAAATCTGTGGATCCATAGTCCATTAACATTGTACCATTGAACACAAACAACATTGAACCCCAATGTAGTGATTAAAAACGACTTACTTTTTTATGATTTTCGTATTCACCATTAATTTTTTCTTCTTGTTTTGCAACCGAGGTTCACCATTAATATTAGACTACCTACACAGCTTGGCAAAAAAAGGATTGACAGCTGGAACTAATATTGACTTGGACTGAACCACGTATTTAGCACGAACCCACGAATATAGTGCCTGCTCTGCTGAAGACTGCCTCGTTGGCCGAGTGGTTGCATGCGCGACTGCCGGGCAAGCGGTCTCGGGTTCGATTCCCGGATTGGGCAAAGTATTACTGGGTTTTTCAACAGTAGTAGCACGAAGTCTGGAATTGTGCCCGGTATATGGCAATAGGCTCACCCCCTATTACATGGGACTCCTAACATAAATAGTGAAAAATGGGTGTTACATTGTAGAGTGGCATTAAATTCTGTAATGTGCACCTCTGTCTACCTCTTCGGGGATAAAAGGCGTGATGTTATATTATAATAACATGAAACATTTTTTGTTTTTCCAGCCTATCGTCGCACCGCCGTCATCACATCAAACAGTTATTATTATTTCAAGTCTACTCGGAGTCGTCATTTTGTCTATCGTGGGTGTTCTGATCTGGTTAAAGATCAAAAAATCACCCTCTTAAATATCTAAGTACAATAAATTTACTTAAGTACCTATGTTATTAAATTAAATATCACTTAACTTAAGCCTTCTTTGTCATAACTGATTTTTAAACCAATATTTTGATAAACATTTACCTATTTATTATTTAGGTACACACATTTGTAAAATGTAACAGTATGTTCGACTGGTGTCAATAGTTTATGTTGATCTATGTATGTACCTATATAAAAAATACCTACACTGTTAGAGCGAGGCCACATTTGTCCATTGCGTTGTGTTGCTTCCATTTATTTTTTTGACATGCCCTATTACACCGTTGCGAGAACGTGACGCAACACAGCGCAGTGGACAAACGGGGCCTCGCTCTTAGAGCAAAATTTATCCAAGTATCTACTTTGACTATGAACCACTTAACTCGGAACGGAACAACCAGTTGGTACCTAACTATATATATTCTTAAATAGAAAACGCCTTTGTTACACTTAGGTTTTGCCATACAATTTAAAAAAGTCACTCTGTGTAGGTAAATAAACGTTCTTGATACTCATCGGATTTGGAATCCTGACGCGACCTCACGATTGAGAAGTGAGTTACCTTTTGTATAAGTTTTACTTGTAACATCAGTCTCGGGTATATCTTATAAAATTATTTGCTGTGTATTGTTAATAAAATTGATGATGTGAGAAATAAATGAATATTATTATTAAATTATACTACCTATACCATACCCACCTAGCACTTAGCAATCGTGACAAAAACAATAATAATTAATATTTTTAGAAAAGTATTGGGTCAGTGATACACGAGTAGTAAGTACCTATTATTCATAGGTATTATATAATCTTTATCGTTCTATTTCAATCAGCTGTCACTACAGGTACAGTTTGGGTCTGTGAGTCTATCTCAATGAGGAAATCTAGATCTTTTTTACGAGTGTTTCCTTTGTAGTCTCCGAATCAGAAAGCTTATTCGACAAAAAATTCTTCTAAATGATGTATTTATTGTAGGTTAGGTAGGTACCTTTAAAGTTAGGCAATAAAAAAGACCCATGACAACTATCAGTCTAAAACTCTCAATCAGTGACAATGATGCCAAAACCAAGCATTCAGAGGGTAAGCGTTTGCTCTGATTGGCCGACTCCAATAAAGAGCCGAACGCAGTTTCGTTTTGATTACTTAATCTAAAATTTATCTGATCTGGTATGGTTCACTCGATATAACTCTCTATATAATAAATTATGCTGTCAGATTATTCTATTAGTCTATTTTCACGGCAATTTTTTTAACATAGAGCAACACAGGCCACCATGACTTAAAACGTCAAACCCTCATGTTATCCATAGACAATGAAGTTATACACAGACTGAACAATATAAAGACAATAAGTTTATTGAATGCAATATCCTTGATTGATTGAATGTTATTTCTTTGACTAAGGACGTTCGAAGTAGTTAATTTTTTGAATTTTGTATTCTGCGATGTCAAAATGTCTTAATAGACCATTGTCTATGGCTTTTTCCTCAATATAAAATATTGTTGTATAGTCTATGACATTCGTCGAAGAAAAGTTGTGCCGTGTAGACGTGTGGTGTGGTGTAAAGTTATTTTTTAATTAGTGTGTGTTCTGTTGTAAAATATTAAAAGTGAGAAGATAATTATTGACCGTTTCTAAAATGGCTTGGATTTATCTTATCCTCAGTGTTATCATAAGTAAGTACACCATTCTATGGAATACGTTTAATTCATCCGGTTTTATCATCTAATTAGTTAGATTATAAAAATTATTCGCTCTTTTTTATTTAGGTATTAGGTACAGTGTTTGTTTTATTCAGGTCACCAAAAACTACTCGTATTATAACGGACTATTCAAATAAAGAATGTAAATTAAAACAAAAGAATCGATTGATTTTTATCATAAATTCCCTTGTCATAGATTCTCGAAGTACCTAGTCAATAGTTTGATTCTAATTACCATTTGTTAAGTTAATGAGATTTTATGTTGAAATAGAAACTCGTTTGTACTATCGTAATTAATAAATGTCATTATAATTATGTAAAGATGACGTTATTTATATTTTCCCGCGTGAATTAATTGCAATCGACTTCTATTAGGAATTTAAGTAAATATAAAACATATTACATGAAGTATCATCGAACATCGGCATAATATCGATAAAAAGAATTTACAGTTAAATAATGAGTGGTTATTTAATGTTTATGCACTGCCTACCTACTTATTTTTTTTACATAAAATTAGGGACATTTTATCTTACTACTCGAGAGTTGACTATCGGAGAATAGTGTCAACCCTCAATTAAGTCCGCCTGAAGGATACTCACTCCCACAAATTTTATTGTACAATGTAAATAAATAAACAAAAATGCATTAAAAATTGTCGCACATCCAATAGTCAGGCATTTATCAAACCAATCAAATTTATTGTATTGTTTAGTTACCAGACAAAAACTATAATCAATGGAATTTACAGGTGTGGCCCACGCCCAAACAGATGCTGAAGAAATTCCCTTTGGAAGTCCCATCACATTACCACCAGAGCTTCAAGCCAAAATAAATGAAACCGATGTGGAAAAATATAAGACGCAGTACTTAGAACAGTTTAAGAAGAAATGTGAACAAAATGGCCATCCTGAGATATATGAGAAAGCACAAGTAAGTTACTTCCATTATTTCTGCAAATTATATTAGGTACAATTAACAGCCACAAAGTTCACATCACCACGGTGACCATCCCCGAAGCTAGTCCTTCGGGTAGTGGTGCATGTTACGGCACTTAATGCCACTGACAATGTAACACCACCACCACTTTTCACCATTTATGTTATAAGTCCAATGCAATTGGGAATGAGCCTATTGCCATATACCGGGTACATTTTCAGGCTTTGTGGTATTACTACTGAGAATGTTGATACCTATACACACATACTCATAAAAAAATGTCATAATATATTAGTGTATGGGATTGTTAGTCGACATCAACTATATTATGTATCTAATTTATAGCTAACTAGCTTTTACCCGCGGCTTCGCTCGCATCACAAAAGAATAAAAAGTAGCCTATGTGACATATACCAATATACCAATACACACAGCACCATCTATACCAATACTTTTGTTTTTCCTCGGGAATATCAATTTTTTCCAGGTTAAAAAGTACCCTATTATTTAATCCGGACTTCTAACTTTACGTCTGCAAAAATTAACAGTTAATGCGGTTCATGCGGGGCAGGTTGCTAGTTGGATATAAATAATTACCTTATATATATACTTCTATGTATTGTTTTTTATTGAAAATAATTATATTGGTACTACTAATTTCAAAATGTTTGTCCTTTGTATTATTTTTTGGTGTATATTCTATTCTATACCATTCTTCAATAATGGTATCCATTGAGTGTCATTCAATGGGTGCCAAGGGTCTAATAGCCAGTTAGCAATGACACATGACTTGTTTTCCAAATGTTTGATCAAAATTCAGACCAAAAATAAATCTTACATAATGCTTATTATTTTAATCTTAACTACCTTAGTAGTAAATGACATTCCTCTTATTTGCAGGAATGTATAATTAGATATTAATTACAATTAAAAAAAAAACAACTAATGTAGACTTTTTTTTTAATGTTTATTTCATAAGAAGGGCTTTTTTCCTAAGAGGAAAATGTCAGCCCTATTATATAATATATAAAATTCAGTACAGAAAAAGCACCTAAACTGTTTATAGGTTTAACTAGCCCTTAAGCTTAAACAGAAAATAATGAAATGATACAATTTTCTAGCCTCAGATGATAATGTTGACACTAAAACACTGATAAATACCAATATTAAAACTCTTAAAACTAAAGACCTGATACCTCTGAGACTCAATTATAAAATATACTAGCTTTATCCCGCGGCTTCGCTCGCGTCACAAAAGGATAAAAAATAGCCCATGTGACATATTTCACATAGGCTATTTTTTACAAATTTATTATTATTTTACAAAAATATTGTAAAATAATAATTGGCTATTTTTTTACAAAAATATTAGTATAGATGGCGCTGTTTGATTGATATAAACCAATATTTTTGTTTTCCCTCGGGAATATCAAATTTTTCCGGGTTAAAAAGTACCCTATTATTTAATCCGGACTTCAAACTTTACGTCTGCAAAAATTCAAAGCAATCGGTTTAGAAGTTACGGCGTGAAAGTGGAACAAACAAACAAACTCACTTTCCGATTTATAATATTATTATATTATATATATATAGTAAGGATTATTACCTAAAGTTCTAGGTCTGTCTACTTTGACTAGTTAGTATTTTTTTTCATACTTTAGCTTACACTGACAGTTATTATAAGAATAAATTACCTAATTGTCGATAATAATGACGCTAGTACATTTATCTGTGGCCGAGTTACCGTTATCGTATTATCATATCATGGGATAACGAGTTTCAAATATTTTTGATTAATTTCAACACATATACTGAGTACTTAGATCTCCTAGGATTAAAGACACTCAAGCACGTTCTTACGAAACCGTTGATAAATTAATTTTGTTGTACTATTTACGTAAACTGTTCGACGAGTTTTCTCGAATAGTTTCAAGCTACGCGGGGGCCCATAGGTCATAGATGGGCCCCGGATGTGGTTTAAATTGTCATTTATATAAAAGTAAGAAAATGTGATTCATCTTTGTGTCTATGAAAACTAAATCGTGAGTCGGTCGTGACACATGCAGATAATTATATTCATTTATGGCGTGTATCTAAATAATAAATGAATTTTATTGTACTCTGAACTTCGGACTTATTATTAATCCTTGGTGCTATAACGTAAATATTAGAGATTTGAGTCGGAATATGTTTTATTTTTTATGGAATCAAATAGCAACTCTTCCACGGTGAACAACAAAAGAGTCGTGCAAGACGTGAATCGCATCATAATTTCGACGACCGCGGTATACCAAACAAGAACCTCTTCGTTTTTAAAGCTTTGTTAAAACTTGCGACTACAGAACCTTTACTAGTTTTGAAATAGGACGTAGGATTTTAAGTAACGATTCTATTTAGCCCATTACGTAAAGAAAGATATTTACAGATAGTGTGTAACATAATACTGCAAGTGATAAATTAATGAATGTTTATGTGAGAAGATAATTATAAGCAACCGGTTCAACCTATACATGTGTTTTATAAAATAAATGACAACCTTCATCTGCTCACAAGGTCGAAGTTCCAAAGATCAACATAAGATTTTAAACTTAAACAAAAGATCCCAAAATATTCTTGGTAAAAACTTAACAACTACTTATTTATTAATAATTATAGCACTGCCTCGTTGGCCGAGTGGTCGCAATTGCGACTGCCGAGCAAGGGTTCTCGGGTTCGATTCCCGGGTCGGGCAAAGTATTACTGGGTTTTTAAAAAATTCTCAGTAGTAGCACGGAGTCTGGAACTGTGCCCGGTATATGGCAATAGGCTCACCCCCTATTACATGGGACTCATAACATAAATAGTGAAAAGTGGGTGTTACATTGTACAGTGGTATAATGTGCACCTCTGCCTACCCCTTTGAGGATAAAAGGCGTGATGTTATGTTATGTTATTATAGCAGTAAATATACAAAGATATAGTGCATTACATTTACTTCTCGCCGTAGTAACACATGTTACGCTCTGGTAAAATGCTCGTTTTCTCACCAGATACCTGTCGACGCGACGATTGAAAGGCTAATTGATATAAGTGACATTTTTTTCGATATACAGTTAAATACATGTTCGAAATCTGCGAATTTTCTTTCGTCGTAATATTGTCGTTTAAATTAATTATTTATTATTAATTAGCCTTCTAACTGTGGCTTTGCGATCCGATACTGAAGTTCCGTAGCTGGCTCGTTTTTCTATAAAACGAAGTCTTAAAAGGGGAGCCTTATAAGACTACGTTTTCTGATTAGGTGCGCGAATATCTTCAGGGTCGATAACTCAAATCTGCTTAACAAAAACCTTATTAAATATGGTGCCAGGACTACCAGGTATTAATTAATGGGCTCGCTGTCATTGCAGCAGTAAGTCCCCTTTTTAAGGAGTGGCTTGAGAGACGCTACGGCGTCCTCACCTACGGCCTGACGCAGGTGCTTACCGGACACGGGAGTTTCGATAGGTTCCTGTTTCGGATTGGGCGGGGAGGAAACGCCCGTCATCACTGCGAGGACCGCCCAGAGGACACGGTGGAGCATGCGGTGGCGGTATGCCCTGCGTGGATTGAGCACCGCCGTGTTCTCAGGGATGTAGTCGGCGACGGTGACCTCTCGCGTTTGGTTCTGGTTCAGGCCATGGTACAGAGGGAGGGGGATTGCGATGCCGTCTCCGCCTTCTGCGAAGCAGTTATGCTTGCCAAGGAGAATGCGGGGCGCGTTAGAGGAACGAACCTTCTCACGCCCCAGCCGTTGCGAGAGACACTCCGGGCCGACCCGACCATACGTGCTCCGACCATAAGTGCGAGTCTGCAGACGGCAAGCAAAGGTAGCTCGCCGCCCGACCAGAAACAGACCCGTGCGATAAAATTGCCCATCTATGCAATGTAATATATACACGGGTATAGGTATGGTACTTTTTAGGAGTTAGAAAATGATGTTGAGGAAATAAATAATTCTTCATTAATTTTGTTATTGCGATATTTGCATAAAACAATTTCCGTCCTACGATAATATTATATTAGGCACAACACCACTTATGATATACCTACCAATACTACCATAGGTATTATAGATATACTTGAGTATTCAAGGAAATATTTCCTAGTACATTTGCGTATACAGTATACGTAAAAAAAACGCAGTATACGGTATACTGCGTTTTTTTTTTCATTTCATCGAACCCTCTATTTATAACTTAAAGAATATTTTAACAAAATGCTCTCATTTTAATTTGCCTTTATACGACATACGTTACCGATTAATATAATACTCGTATCAGAAAATAGTAATCAAGAAATGAAAAAGAAAAAGCGCTCCGTTTCTTTACTCCTCATTGTACCGTAGATATAATTTTTAATTTATCTGTGGTAATAAGGTAATATTTCTTAAGTTCAATAAGGATATTAAAAATATTCCTTAATTGCTTCCTCGTTTACTGATAACAATTATACCCTTGGTAATGTATTAATTACTCATAATCATAATAGTATTTTTTGCTTCTGTATCTTACAGAAGGAAACTACTGGGGAGTAATGAACGAGGACGTAAAATTACCATGGTTGCAGAAGAGGAAAAGTAGTTATTGTCTTGTTCTAAAGTCTTTGTTGAGAAAGCATAGATAGGTACCTATTTAAGTGTCTATCTATACATGATCTATACTGATATTGTGCAGAAACCTTCATTTGTCTATGATCAACTGTAATAAATTAAATGTATTAGCCTATGGTACTCTGAACATTACGCTTTTAATCAGGTAAATCGATTTACATTACTGTTATTGGTTCAGTTTTTTGGAGGCTTCAATAGGAATGATGACGGGGTATGAAAACTAAAAAATTTATTAGTCCGTCCGTTAGGTAATGAAAAATATTAGACACATATTTTTTTATTTTGTCGTATAAGAAAACAATACTTCAATAAAAAGAATCAAACTTTAGGAGTGGGAATTATCTTCGTCATTTTTGATTATAAA